CTTTTGTATGAGACAGGGTCCCGACAAGAGGCACCAAAGCCTGTTGGAATCTGAATCCTGCCTTCGCTGATCCATCTTCCGATCTTTTTCAGGCACTTGGACGTGATCTTTTGGTCCAAACTTGAGGATGAGGGAGCCTTCCGCGTTCCATTCCAAATCTCCATCATGAGTGGACCGATGTTCGAGATCACATGCATCAGATCGAGAGGAAGACAGAAGCTGAGCTCGATGGACTCAAGTTGAGTTACACCTGGTCGCCCCACGATCCCTGATCAACATAGTTAATGTTAACATCGGAGTCGAAAACAACGCCCTGACTCGTCTCGTTAACGTACCGTTTCGGGGCATGCCGTCTTGATCGATGGCCTCCCATATTCTGTTCAGACTCTCTTCGGTGCGGTATGGACTGGGAGTGTCACGTTCATAGAAGCACATGGCACCCCCGGCCCTCGTGGCCGTTATTTCGCAGAGACGACAGCCCTTCGTGGCGGTGTGCCCAGAAAATTTACCGAATTTGTTGGATCCGGGCATGTCACTCTGGCAGTACAGCAAGTGACCTCGGAGAGTGAAAGAATGTTCCACGCCATTTTTGTCGACCCTTATCGCCTCAACACCTGGGAGCGAGAGACATTGCTCCGTCAGCAGCGTGCTCTCGCGAGGATTATGTGGAGTGACCAAGTGATCCACACCAGAGGGGCTTACGCACCGGTCTCAAGTCTCTTCATATCTTCGAAAAACGGCTTCAAAAATGTATCAAAGTCACGAGGCGATCGTGGACCAGGCGTAAGCAAGACCGTAATGAGATTTTCCTTTTTGTAGCGCAGAGCAGGTGGAAGATTGAAGTTGATCAAGATGAAGCCCCACGATTGATGGCTTTGCCTACACCAGATACAAAGGTCAGCTGTGGTTATAATCTGATTTTGAAACAGAGAGCGGGCGTACCTCTGATTGATATTGAAGCCATCAAAATGCAGCCCGAGAGCAACGTCGGTGGGCTGCTGGAACATTGAGCGACTACAAAGGTGCTGGTAATATTCGGCATCGAAAATGTCGCTCATGACGCCTGAAGATTCAGATTTGGTGAGTTCAGAGCACCATATAGCAATATAGTATTGGGAAATAATACGGGTGGAAAGTACCTGGTTCGCTCGCTCTGTTTGCTCTGTACATCATCAACTCTGCCATAGTTGGATTTCGGTAGAGTGTCTGAAGTATCTGAACAAAATCGAAATACTTGTAGGTCTGAATCGGCCTCAGTTGTGGTTGAATGCCGCCATTCAGAAGTTTTTCGTTCACCGTCGCATAAGCATCCTCTCCACAAAACGTGCATATTCGACTCTGGTTATCATTGATGTCGAATCCCATGCAGCTGTTTGGGCAGCAGGGAAGCCTCTGAAGATACTCGTTCCACTCGCAACAAATGATCTTTTGGATCTTGTACAGACTGGGTGCAGCTGGTAATGACAATCCTTGGAATTTGTTGCAATGATTAAGGACAGATTTGATGGCTTTGTCGGTAACATTGCACTCGGTCAACACCTTGACCAGCTGCGAATAGAAGGGCGGGATATCTGGGGGAAAGCCGCGGGTGAATACATCAATTCGGATGCTACATCGGATTGCTATCTGTCCTTTGAATTTGACTCACCATCTGATATGCGGGGCTCTTCGTCACCAGTTTCTTCATCATCTTCATTCATTTCAAGCAGTCGAAAGTGGCCGAGGAAGCTATCCGGATACTGTCCTGGAAGGTGAACCGTGGCATTTATATGAGTCAACCGGACTCTGAAGCAAGACCAGGAAGATTCGACGATACGATCAGGCTGGGTGACGTTGATATCTCACCCGAAATGTCATCGAATTCTCTCGGTGAGCTTGAAGTGGTGTCTTCTGAGTCTATCGAAGAGTCTTCAGAGTCTTCGTAGTACATGGACGCTTCTTCAGAGTCCCGCGATGCCCACATGCTTGGCGACCACGAAGGGCAGCGTTCAAATTGAGCTGGAGCAGGGCCTTCGTTGTCTTGGGTGCATTGCTGAATAGATGCTCCTGTTTGGATATCCATGCTCTCGTGCTCAAATGCGCGGGGTGAGCCTTTGGGCCAGGCCAAGGATGAAGAAACAAAGTCGGACAAATCGAGAGTGTATTGGTCATTTCGTAGTGAGCTCTGGCAGCGTCCAAGCACAGATCACTGATTATTGCTCAAGACTGAAACCGTGACGCACACAAAAATTTAGCGAGAATGTGATATCAGGTGCTCAGTCTTACCCAATGAAGGTCGCTGCGATGTTATCCCATGTGGTCGCAGTTCATCTACCACCAACACTGGGGGATGAAATGTCGGCGAAGTTCGCAAATTGGGGTTATTTTCGCATATGCTTGTAATAGGACGGTGAGGGAACGAAGAAAGATGGCCAGCTGTGTTTTCTTGAGGATCTTTGAGCGAGTACATGTGAACAGGGGGGACTCCAGGTGGAAAGCCATAGCGATAGAAGTGGTCGTAGTAGGTCGTTCTGGAGACAATCCTGAAGCCTTGCGAATCGGTGCTACACTTGCGACAACGACAGATGGATCTGTTCTTGGGAAGCCCATCGTGAGCCCTATTTATCGAGGATGGTACCCTGGTCGATGATATTGGATATGGAGTATGCCTTGGGTGATCGTGCCCAGATGGTTGAGCGGCTGAACTCATGATTAGAGTCGGATGAGAAGGTCGAGGGGAGAAAGGATCAAGAGGAGATTGACGAAGCAACTGGGGGCGGAAATGCCCGGTTTTTGTCCAAGTCCGAAGGCTCTGATGACCCATGAACACAGATGAGTCAGGAAAGCAGCCGGGGGTCATGGACAGTGAACGAGTCGCGGAAGACAGTGAAAAGCCGGGATGACTCGGATGCCATGTCACGTGAACGGAAGCAGCCCATTGGCCGAGGGCTCCACGGGATGTGGCAGTGCGGGTTCGGGGACACCCAGGGAGCCAGCAACCTGGACGAACAAGGAGAAATGCGGGTGACCCGAGCCCGTCGCGGTCGCTTCAGTGGCCAGACGCGACCCCCAAGGCAAAACAAAACGCGAGAAGACGTGTTTTTCCTTGTTATGCTGAGTCCGGTGGGGGATTTGCGAGGGAAGTATTGGCCAACGCGTAATTTACACGTCAGCTTTTTTTTCATAGTGAGGCCCCCCAGCACAGCGCCGGGTGATGGAGCAGTGGCCGCACTTGGCAGCTGATGACGGCTCGTAAGCAAGTGCCAGACGGATCGGGAGGACGGAGCCGTCGCATGCCACGCAGCGCTCTGCGGCCATCTTGCCATGAACCGGCCGGGCAGCATCGGCAAAGGCCAACAAACAGCAACGCAAAGACACATGCCCGTCTGCCCTCGCGGAATCCCGGGACCGCGGTTGCGTCGACGGGCGGTCCCGGAACAGCAGCGATTCGCCGCAAGAGGCCGGCCTTGTCTTGGTTGCGCAGATGGCAGCATGTGCGGACGCTGGCGAGTGCGGGTCGATGCAGCTAAGTGGAGCTGAGCGCTTGCGCTGAACGCATCAATCGGGCGTATCCATCGAGTGGCTCCAACAAGTGCGTCTGTTGATCGCCTCTGTCAAGCGATTCTGTTAAGCACTTCAGTCGAGTGCATCTCTATGAAGCACGCTGCTCCAACACTGCTCCTGCACACTGCTCCAGCACACTGCTCCTGCGTCGCCCCCTGCCGCCTCGCCGGCCTCCGGCCCAGGCCACCGCCACAGACCGGGCGGCATCAAGGGGAATCACGTGCACCGGGCGGCTCCGTTCCGCATGTCGCACAGCGGCGGACGCGGCGGAGGCGAACGGGAATTCATGTGTTGCTGTGGGGCCCGCTGTGCTGCGGGGGCGCCGGCGAGAGCAGCCCGACAGCAGCCGAGAGCGGCCGAGAGAGACCACCCGAGAGACCACCCGAGAGACCTCCCGAGACCGGCCGGGGTCGCTTCCTCCCCTCCCTCCCTCGACACTGGCCCTCGTTAAATACGCCGCGGCGTCTCCACCGTCTCCATCGCATCTATTCTCCAGGCCGATCGCCTTTTCCTCTTGGACTCTGCAAACGCAGTCTCTGCCCTGATCTTCTCGCTTCCAGACCTGTTCTGCGACTACTCCAGGTATGCCGCCGTGTTCGCCGTGATCCTGTCGCCTCTGCAGCCTGGTGTCCCCAGCCATGCTGTTACTGTGCCCTCCCTCGGCGTGAGTCTGCCACAAACAACCGCTGTTTTCCGCTCTTCGCTCTCCGTTTTTTCATGGCGGTCGTCGTCCTTCAGCAGGGCGTTATTTCCGACTGCCTTGCGCGTTTGGAGCTTTTTTGATACGCGTGGTTGTCACTTTCGACTGCCTCCTTCGCGATCGTGAACTTGGCCCCTTGCCATTCTTCTTTGCATTTTCGCTTCGTTGCGGCCGCTGGCTTGGCCATTTGGCTTGGCCGTTGCCCGGCAATCTTGGGGGAAAGCTGGCTCGCCGTTGGGCGAGGGCGGTGCGGCAGACGTTGATCCCCCGCTTTATCGGCCTGGATCGCTCGCGTTAGCGATCTTTGCTCGATGTGGGTCATTAGCCCGTCACAATCCGTCGCGACCGATCGCTGTCGGCCGCTTGTGTCGCTGCGATCGTGTTGGGGTCAGGTTGGGTCAGGCCGCGACAACCGAGCGATCGCGGTGGCGGCAGCGTCACCATGACGGCCCCGCCTCGCCTCTCGCCCGCGGCTTGGCTGCCCACTCCGGCCTCTCCGCTCCCGGCTCCTCGTTCCCGCCCTCGCTGCTCGCCGCCTCCCGCCACCTGGGTTCTCGTCATGGCAGTCCTTCCCCACCCCGGTCGATCTCGTTCGCGTCGATCCCCACACATTATGACTCACCCGCCGTCAGAGCCCCGCGACCCCGATAAATAGCCGCAGCCGTCTCCGCCCATGACCTGCTGTTCTTCTCTCCAGAGCAAATGTGTCTCTAGACATCTCCCTCTAACCTGGTCTCCTCCTCCCATGACCTCAGCCATGCACGGTAAATCCGCCAACCCCGAAATCCACGACGAAATCCACGAGGCCCTGGCCAAGCTCGCCCATGTGGACTACACCAAGCCCATCATCCGCAACGCCTCGGTTGCCGTCCTCTACGAAGAGGCTCTCCAGTACGAGGCCGGTACTGCCCTGACCTCGTCCGGTGCCCTCTTCACCGACTCGGGTGCCAAGAAGGGTCGTTCTCCCAAGGACAAGCGTATTGCCGACGAGCCCTCCACCGTCGAAGACATCTGGGTAAGCCATTGCGCTTGTCTCCGTTTGGTCTGTCCGATCGGCTCTCCCGACCGTGTTGCCGCGCCGTTTCCTTGTTTGGCCTGCAAACCCCCACGTTGTCCTTGTCATGCCCTGTCATAGCACATGCATGTTACCGAACCCGTCGCAACCCTCTCCCTCCACTTCCTCCACTGTCGGCTCCTCCGCTTCAGTCGACGCCATGCTGACCACGCTTTCCCTTCCTCTGCCGTCTCGTAGTGGGGCCCCGTCAACATCAAGATCCCCGCCAAGTCCTTCATGGTCAACCGTGAGCGCGCCATTGACTACCTGAACCTGCGCCAGCGCCTGTACGTCCTCGACGGCTTTGCCGGCTGGGACCCCAAGTACCGCATCAAGGTCCGCATCGTCTGTGCCCGTGCCTACCACGCCCTCTTCATGCGCAACATGCTCATCCGCCCCACCGCCGAGGAGCTGGCCAACTTTGGCGAGCCCGACTTCACCATCTTCAACGCCGGCGAGTTCCCCGCCAACCGCTACACCACCGGCATGACCTCGACCACCTCCATCTCGATCAGCTTCGAGCGCCGTGAGATGGTCATCCTCGGTACCCAGTACGCCGGCGAGATGAAGAAGGGTGTCTTCACCGTCATGCACTACCTCATGCCCAAGGCCGGTGTCCTGTCCCTGCACTCCTCCGCGAACGAGGGCAAGGACGGTGATGTCTCCCTCTTCTTTGGTCTGTCCGGCACCGGCAAGACCACCCTCTCGGCCGATCCCCACCGCTTCCTGATTGGCGATGACGAGCACTGCTGGTCCAACGATGGCATCTTCAACATCGAGGGTGGCTGTTACGCCAAGTGCATTGACCTCTCTGCCGAGAAGGAGCCCGAGATCTACAACGCCATCCGCTTCGGCTCTGTCGTCGAGAACGTTGTCTACGACCCCGTTTCCCGCGACGTTGACTACGGCAACGCCTCCTTGACCGAAAACACCCGCTGCGCCTACCCCATCGGTGAGTGACTCGAAGGATTCATCGACTCTGTTCTGTAGAACGGGCGCACCGCCCTCTCCCCTTCCATCTGTTCCTGTCAACCACAAGTGGCCTAACCTTGCTTGCCTTCCACTCCTTCACCACAGAGTTCATCCCCAACGCCAAGATTCCTTGTGTCGGTGCCCACCCCAAGAACATCATCATGCTCACCTGCGATGCCTTTGGTGTCCTTCCTCCCGTCAGCAAGCTGTCAGCCGCCCAGGCCATGTACCACTTCATCTCCGGCTACACCGCCAAGATTGCCGGTACCGAGGAGGGTGTTACCGAGCCTCAGGCCACCTTCTCGAGCTGCTTCGGCTCGCCCTTCCTGGTCTGGCACCCCGTCAAGTACGCCTCCATGCTCGCCGAGAAGATGTCCGAGCACAAGGCCGATGCCTGGCTCATCAACACCGGATGGTCCGGCGGTGCCTACGGCACTGGCAAGCGTATCTCGCTCAAGTATTCGCGTGCCATCATCGATGCCATCCACGCCGGCGAGCTCGCCAACGCCGAGTACGAAGAATACCCCATCTTTGGCCTCCAGATCCCCAAGCACGTCAACGGCGTCCCCTCGGAGATCCTCAACCCCTCCAAGGTTTGGCTCGGGGACCAGGCCTCCTTCAACGCCACCCTCACCAAGCTCGCCAACCTCTTCTCCAACAACTTCAAGAACTTTGAAGACAAGGCCACCGACGAGATCAAGGGTGCCGGCCCCAAGATCTAAGCGTCCTGCAAAACGGCGCTGCGCAACCGCTTGCACTTCCTGATTGACCCATCCTCCCTTCCACCATCTTTGCTTGGCTCTCAATCTCCTCCTGTAGAATAATTTCCTTCCTTTGATCCCTTGCCTTGGCCGAGTCCTTTCCGGATCCTGGAGATGGCGTGCGACGCTTGTTCTGGGTTGTGGGCTTATAATGTGTCTGCAACCCCCATGAACTCTCGATGATTCATCTCGGTTGCAGTTTGATGGGTTTGGAGAAGAGCCAATAATCCTATCGCCCCGCTCCTCCATCCGGCCAAAAGTTCTTGATCATCATCCCTTTCTTGCCATGGCTCTCTTTGATTTGCCTCTCTTTTCTTGCATACGATATACACCCTTCTCTCCCCCTCCCTTCAATCGAATACATTCTCGAACGACATTTTTGATTCCAACCTCCCTGATCCGAACCAATCCTGTCCTCACGGGGAGGACGTTTGAGTGGTATTGCTACATGAAATACAAACAAATGGAATGTTCAGATGCTGTTCAACCCGTGACGGATGCGGATGCGAGCACTATGAAAAAAAAGCTGACGTGTAAATTACGCGTTGGCCAATACTTCCCTCGCAAATCCCCCACCGGACTCAGCATAACAAGGAAAAACACGTCTTCTCGCGTTTTGTTTTGCCTTGGGGGTCGCGTCTGGCCACTGAAGCGACCGCGACGGGCTCGGGTCACCCGCATTTCTCCTTGTTCGTCCAGGTTGCTGGCTCCCTGGGTGTCCCCGAACCCGCACTGCCACATCCCGTGGAGCCCTCGGCCAATGGGCTGCTTCCGTTCACGTGACATGGCATCCGAGTCATCCCGGCTTTTCACTGTCTTCCGCGACTCGTTCACTGTCCATGACCCCCGGCTGCTTTCCTGACTCATCTGTGTTCATGGGTCATCAGAGCCTTCGGACTTGGACAAAAACCGGGCATTTCCGCCCCCAGTTGCTTCGTCAATCTCCTCTTGATCCTTTCTCCCCTCGACCTTCTCATCCGACTCTAATCATGAGTTCAGCCGCTCAACCATCTGGGCACGATCACCCAAGGCATACTCCATATCCAATATCATCGACCAGGGTACCATCCTCGATAAATAGGGCTCACGATGGGCTTCCCAAGAACAGATCCATCTGTCGTTGTCGCAAGTGTAGCACCGATTCGCAAGGCTTCAGGATTGTCTCCAGAACGACCTACTACGACCACTTCTATCGCTATGGCTTTCCACCTGGAGTCCCCCCTGTTCACATGTACTCGCTCAAAGATCCTCAAGAAAACACAGCTGGCCATCTTTCTTCGTTCCCTCACCGTCCTATTACAAGCATATGCGAAAATAACCCCAATTTGCGAACTTCGCCGACATTTCATCCCCCAGTGTTGGTGGTAGATGAACTGCGACCACATGGGATAACATCGCAGCGACCTTCATTGGGTAAGACTGAGCACCTGATATCACATTCTCGCTAAATTTTTGTGTGCGTCACGGTTTCAGTCTTGAGCAATAATCAGTGATCTGTGCTTGGACGCTGCCAGAGCTCACTACGAAATGACCAATACACTCTCGATTTGTCCGACTTTGTTTCTTCATCCTTGGCCTGGCCCAAAGGCTCACCCCGCGCATTTGAGCACGAGAGCATGGATATCCAAACAGGAGCATCTATTCAGCAATGCACCCAAGACAACGAAGGCCCTGCTCCAGCTCAATTTGAACGCTGCCCTTCGTGGTCGCCAAGCATGTGGGCATCGCGGGACTCTGAAGAAGCGTCCATGTACTACGAAGACTCTGAAGACTCTTCGATAGACTCAGAAGACACCACTTCAAGCTCACCGAGAGAATTCGATGACATTTCGGGTGAGATATCAACGTCACCCAGCCTGATCGTATCGTCGAATCTTCCTGGTCTTGCTTCAGAGTCCGGTTGACTCATATAAATGCCACGGTTCACCTTCCAGGACAGTATCCGGATAGCTTCCTCGGCCACTTTCGACTGCTTGAAATGAATGAAGATGATGAAGAAACTGGTGACGAAGAGCCCCGCATATCAGATGGTGAGTCAAATTCAAAGGACAGATAGCAATCCGATGTAGCATCCGAATTGATGTATTCACCCGCGGCTTTCCCCCAGATATCCCGCCCTTCTATTCGCAGCTGGTCAAGGTGTTGACCGAGTGCAATGTTACCGACAAAGCCATCAAATCTGTCCTTAATCATTGCAACAAATTCCAAGGATTGTCATTACCAGCTGCACCCAGTCTGTACAAGATCCAAAAGATCATTTGTTGCGAGTGGAACGAGTATCTTCAGAGGCTTCCCTGCTGCCCAAACAGCTGCATGGGATTCGACATCAATGATAACCAGAGTCGAATATGCACGTTTTGTGGAGAGGATGCTTATGCGACGGTGAACGAAAAACTTCTGAATGGCGGCATTCAACCACAACTGAGGCCGATTCAGACCTACAAGTATTTCGATTTTGTTCAGATACTTCAGACACTCTACCGAAATCCAACTATGGCAGAGTTGATGATGTACAGAGCAAACAGAGCGAGCGAACCAGGTACTTTCCACCCGTATTATTTCCCAATACTATATTGCTATATGGTGCTCTGAACTCACCAAATCTGAATCTTCAGGCGTCATGAGCGACATTTTCGATGCCGAATATTACCAGCACCTTTGTAGTCGCTCAATGTTCCAGCAGCCCACCGACGTTGCTCTCGGGCTGCATTTTGATGGCTTCAATATCAATCAGAGGTACGCCCGCTCTCTGTTTCAAAATCAGATTATAACCACAGCTGACCTTTGTATCTGGTGTAGGCAAAGCCATCAATCGTGGGGCTTCATCTTGATCAACTTCAATCTTCCACCTGCTCTGCGCTACAAAAAGGAAAATCTCATTACGGTCTTGCTTACGCCTGGTCCACGATCGCCTCGTGACTTTGATACATTTTTGAAGCCGTTTTTCGAAGATATGAAGAGACTTGAGACCGGTGCGTAAGCCCCTCTGGTGTGGATCACTTGGTCACTCCACATAATCCTCGCGAGAGCACGCTGCTGACGGAGCAATGTCTCTCGCTCCCAGGTGTTGAGGCGATAAGGGTCGACAAAAATGGCGTGGAACATTCTTTCACTCTCCGAGGTCACTTGCTGTACTGCCAGAGTGACATGCCCGGATCCAACAAATTCGGTAAATTTTCTGGGCACACCGCCACGAAGGGCTGTCGTCTCTGCGAAATAACGGCCACGAGGGCCGGGGGTGCCATGTGCTTCTATGAACGTGACACTCCCAGTCCATACCGCACCGAAGAGAGTCTGAACAGAATATGGGAGGCCATCGATCAAGACGGCATGCCCCGAAACGGTACGTTAACGAGACGAGTCAGGGCGTTGTTTTCGACTCCGATGTTAACATTAACTATGTTGATCAGGGATCGTGGGGCGACCAGGTGTAACTCAACTTGAGTCCATCGAGCTCAGCTTCTGTCTTCCTCTCGATCTGATGCATGTGATCTCGAACATCGGTCCACTCATGATGGAGATTTGGAATGGAACGCGGAAGGCTCCCTCATCCTCAAGTTTGGACCAAAAGATCACGTCCAAGTGCCTGAAAAAGATCGGAAGATGGATCAGCGAAGGCAGGATTCAGATTCCAACAGGCTTTGGTGCCTCTTGTCGGGACCCTGTCTCATACAAAAGCTTCAAAACCGAAGAATGGAAGAATTGGATTATCATGTACTCCCTACCTCTGCTCAATGCGGCGGGCTTTCCACTAGAACACTTGTAAGCTCTTGATATTGTACCCTGCTCGAACCGGGGCCCGTCCTACGGTCGATGAGATACTTGATTCGAATTGATCCTAACAGTGATGCTATTGTGCCTAGATTGGGATGGAGGCGCTTTGTCTATGCCCTTCGATTGATGCTGCTTCCCCAGTTGAATGTTGCTCAATGCAATCAGATCGAGAGAAATCTTCAGAGGTTCCAGGAGTACTACACAGAGCAAGTAGCACGAGACAGCAGTCCCTTCACTTGAGGATGTTGGGCAGCTCACTAATTCTCAATATCTAACCACGTATACTCGAAATGTATTCACCAGGTCAATCGCAAATCTCCCAGAGTCACTCGAACCTCCTCCAGACAGAGCTCCAGACCTGTCTGGACTTCGTTTGATGAAAACCTACGTGCATCAGCTCCAACACTTGCCTAGGTGCATCCGATTGTTTGGACCCTTGGTATATCAATGGCAGTTTGAAATGGAAAGAACCTGTGGTCGCCTGAAGCTCATCGGGCGATCGAAGGTCCATCCAGTGGACAATATGGCCAATCGGCTCGTCCTCCAAAGCTCTCTGAGCGGTCCAAGCATTGCTCCGAACTTGACCTTGAGAGGAACATCCAGGTTGGGCGAAGACCCTGGGATATGGCCATCCTCCTTTGCAAACAATGGGCGGGCCTCGAATCAAGATAGCCGCGGAACCTTGTCTGGCCAGCAACAAAAGCTGAAACTACCTTCTGAACAAGTCGCGAAGCTAAAGAGCGCTTATGCCAGGACGATTTCTGCCAATTCCTCATACGGCTATCGTGAAGCCTTGCAATATGTCCATTCACTTTGGGATCAGAATTCGGACACTTGCTCCAAACACACCAAGATGGACGCGGGGGAACTACATGTCATATCTCAATCACATCGGATGAGCACGGCACATCATCGGATGAACTCTGTTGTGAAGGTAAGGCATTCGGCAGCGCGCGATAGCGAAGCCTCATATGAGCTAATGCATTCTGAATCTACAGGTTTGGACCAATATGCCCGATGCATCAGCAAGCAATCACCCATATTCTTCTGTCCGCTTCTATCAAGTCCAATATTTCATCAGCCACTCCTTTGATGGAGAAACAACAAACTGGGCATACTGTGTGATTCCAAAGATCAACATCAGATATGGAGATGACAGTTCAGGATACCGCCCATGCAACGAGTGCGCTACCTTCCACCTCGACAGCATGGAGTCAACGAATCATATCTTTGTTCCAGCCGATGCCATCGTTTCTACTGTCGGATACTTCGAGATGGAAGGCGGTGGGTACAGCTTTGCTGCAATTGGAGAGGCAAAGTCAGGCTGATACTTATATCAACCATTCCAGGTGGCTTTTATATTATCGAGCAAGATCCTCCGATTTGACAAGTCGATGCAAATGTCGCAGGTAGTTGGGCCAAAAAGTGCTTGAGGCCGCTTGATGACGAAGGGAGTTTGTCCGAACTTGACCCATAGTGACCATATCAGTGTAATGACAGGTCAAGTCGGAAGGTTTGGAATATAAATATCCCCCCGACCACCGCTTCCTGCCCGCTTCCGTCGTCAGGCTCAAGTCAATACTCCCCTCAGGCCCTCTCTATCCTAACTTCCTCGGCGGGCCCATGAGCCGATCGATGACATAGGTGCCGTTAAACGCATGCATATTGAGGATGAGCCGCATCATGAATATGTCTCTAATGTTTTTAACTCTAACGCTTCCTCTTTCACTATCTTGAATATGTCTCGAATGTAGGAAGCCATCCAAATCCAAGTAAGTCCCTTCATGACGATTGAGTATCATCTGAGAGAGCTCGAAGGCGACGCTTCAACTAACCGCATCGCTCATTCCCTCCAGATATCCTCGCCCCCATGGGACATTATCTTGATTATTATCATTTCGGGTTTGTTATCACTTGCGTTTTTACTGAACACGGCATATCATACCGCATTCTGTTTGCGACTCTGAGGTTAAACTGGCTGGTGGAGCAGTGACCACCGCGGGTTTGACCTAATCCTGGACTAGTTAGAACGGCCGAGGATTGCCCCAGGAGTTCACGGTGCCGCCCAACGGCGGTCGGAACTGGGGTGTCCGAAAGGCAGTTCTCAGAACGGGTCATGGTGAGGGAGAATGAGGATATGAGAGGTTCGGGGCCGGGAGAAACCGGGGCGGAGGGGTCCCGGAACGGAGCGGGACGGAGCGGGACGGCAAGCGAATGCCAAATCGGGCCAGAGCACGTGTGGGAAGCAACGCTGTTGATTGGCTAGCGAGCAGTCCCAAAATGGCATCGTTCGGACGAGGCTGCACCAGACTGTCGGCACACACGTGACTCATTCTGTGTCTTAATGTGCCTGCTGACCAGGTCCCGAGCCGAACACAGCCACTGTAGAGGGGTCACGTCCTATTTTTTTCATCGTGGAGTGCTGGTGCTGGTGCTGGTGCTGGTGGCCCCAGTGAATTGATCGGCTCTGGTCCAGGGATCCGGCGGTTGATTGCCGATCCAGCCACGATGCCGGCGGATCGGTGCAATCGGCTGTGATTGTTGGCATGCCAATCTGTTCCGATGAGAGCGCACCCCGTCATCGCTCCAAGGCACAGCCCGCAGATGGCCGCCACAGCATCGAGACGCACACATGGCATATGCACGACCGACAATGCGAGCAACCAACAGCAATACATTGACATGAACAACACCAAATGGGTGTGGGTGACTGGGTGACTGGGTGACTGGGTGACTGGGTGACTGGGTGACTGGGTGACTGGGTGACTGGGTGATTGATCTTGCATCAGCATCCTGGACAGTGTTGCCGGGAGCGATCAGAGCACAGCGTGATACAAACCCGCTGAAACAGCGGCACGGCGAGACAAAGCATGTATAGGCAGGCGGATGGGAGACTCGATTGTCAGTGAAATACCTGACAAATTATAAAATTGGAACGATACAGAGAAGATTAGCATGGCTCCCTGCGCAAGGATGACAAGCATATCTTGAGTGGATTGTCTCTTCGGAGACGAATTTTTTTGTCGATGTGCGCACTGCCTGACACAATGCCTGTGCTGTGCTGTGCTGGCTGGTGATGTCGCTGGTGATACTCCCTCAGGATGAGCCCGCAGATGATTGTGTACATTCCCCTGCGACAGCCCGAAGGTTCTCTGGAGCGCGGAAATGAATCGCAGATCCAGAAGATTGCCTCGGCTGTCTCCGAGTGAAGACATCGGGCCACCCCTGGGGTCTCTACAATCCTCCCGTACACAGCGATCATGTTATGCACCGCACTAACGTCGCCATTCGCTACATTGCCAAATGAATGTGTATTCAGGACCCAGGGAGGCGACACCCGGTCTGGCTCAAAGGAAGATGTTCCGTTTCGTTTTGGGGTGTCCTGCAACTGCATTCTTTGGAATATTTGGCTGCACCGTTTCAATTTCGTGCGCAGACGGCATCACCTCGTGCATGTTCAAGTTGTATCAAGCGTATGATTTCGATATCCAGTTCGTTACTCGCACATGTTGCTGTGTCCGCGAGGGTCACTTCTGCGACGACGCCTTGCGACGGGCCCGTTTTGCCTGGTATCGGCGGAAGGCAGATAGCCAAGAAGCCGTTCGTCAGTATCGAGCGACTTCCCTCCCCCTTTCCTGCCCCTCAAGCGGCAGCAGCCGCACTTGATCCTGATATCGACGCTCATTCAAGACAGCAACGTCATGACGGCCCTTAAATCATATGCCACTGATCTTACCGGAGGTTCAACTTGGTTTACGTCCAGCAAGTCGTTTTCCTGAGATTGTGCAATGGGTTTCAGTCTACCGAGTCAACTTCAGCCAATCCCAGCCGAGTAGCCCCCCCCCTGCAGTTCATGACGCACTCCATCTCAGTCCATCTGATAGCCCCATGTCTCATAATCACGGTGTCTTTCTCTTCCTCGGATCTTGGCCGCCTACCTTGTCATCCTCACCACCACTCTCAAAGCGCTTGCTGACCTGCAATTCGCGACGATCCAGGCGCTCTACCCTCTCAAACTTGAGCGTTGTTTGGATATGGCGGCCAGACCGGGCTCGTCGAGTAGCAGCAGCGGACTCTGATGAGCTTGGCTCCTGTCCGCCGGGCTCTGAGCTGGTAACATCCTGCGAGTCCGATTCGCTGGCAATCCGGTCCGGAGTCAGCATTCTCGCATAAAAGGCGCTGTCGCCCACTTGGGCAGCATGGAGGGAGATGCGTGACAAAATAGAGACTTACTCGGTATCCACAACGTCCATACGCTTTCTGGGGGAGAATGGCTTGGAAGGGCCGGTCGGTCGTGATGGGGACTTGTAGGCAATCAAATCCTGCAAGCCACGTGTCTGGTGAGTTGGCTCGGCAGCATCCAAGGACCGCAGGCTCTGCCCGACAACACCGTGCTTACCGCCTCAACATCTTCGTCTTCGGAAGACGAGAGATCTTGGATCGGCTTGGCGTTAGCCTTGGCCACGCGTGGGGCCATACTGGAGAGGAAAAGGCAGGGAATCGATCGTAAGATTGTGATGACCAACTTTAGCAGCATCCAATTCAAGCCCGGTCGGCCACGGCGACAGCCCATAATCATGTCGCAATGTGCCCTTGGTCAATATCGTTTCCAGCTAATGCGCACAGATCGTAGGCTCGCCTTCGCTCTCGTGAAAAAGGCAACGCTTGCCAAATCTTACATGCGAGATGGTGTTTGGGGTGTTGTGGGGACGCTTTTGCGGCTGTAGCGACGCACCGTTTTGGTGCTTTGCGAATTGTTCGCCACGGGCTCTTCGTCGCTCTGTCGGTCAATGTCCCCTTCGTCGCCGCTCTCAGCCCCCGACCTCTGTGACTTCCGGGGTCGCTTGCTGGCTGAGGATCGGACAGGTGTTCGGGCCGGGCCGTTGCCTTCACGCTTCGATCGCGGCGTCGTTGGCGGTGCGACACGCAGAGGGTTGGGTGCCCCGACGACTCCGACCGGCTGACGGAGATCCAGGAATGTCTTCGGAAGGTAGGTCTTCTTGAGGTTGTCTGTGGCTTCCTTCGGGCTGAGCGGCTGGAACAGGGTGCTGTCGACATCGTCCTTTGGCGGATATGACGGCAGAGTCCAGTTTCGACTGTGGCACGTCTCCAAGATGAGCCGCTGGGCAAGCTCGCTGACGATGTAGAGGTTCTAGATGACCGCAGATATGACAGTGGATATGACAGGGGATATGACAGGGGAGATTTCACAAAGTCGTATGAGCATCCCGTGTGCTGCTGCTCTAGCTTGCAGCGCGACAGGCGAAAGTGGTGGACATCCATGGCTTCTCACCTGCGAGGATGATGCATGGATGTCCCGAACCGTCTTGAGCTGCGACGCCAGATGAAACAAATATGACACATTGTCGATGCTTGCGACTGAGTCCAGGAAAAACTCAATGTACCTTGATAGAAAAGGTATGGAGCAAATGTGAGACCATACGTCGTGCGGAGTCGCTGGCAGGGTTCCACTCTCGTATTTGGCTCACAAATCTTACTTGGATGTCAGCTGGAGATCGTCGTTTATCTCAGAAAAGTCATACAAATGACTAATGAGATACAGGAACCGGGTGAGGGTGCTTTCGACTGGAACGCCATTGGATTCTATAATCCGGGACCGGTTGTGTCAGCTGCGCGCAACAACCAAAGGCCTGGCTGAGATAGAAGGCGGCAATTCGGTATGGCACTCACCAGATCGTTGTTGCTTGGCCTTTCTCGAAAATATGCCCTTAGCCTGCAAATGGCCAGTGTGAGGACTCCTTATAAACAATCCGAACAGACGGAGCATCTCGGTTGCCTCACCTTGTTGCGTAGCTCCACCTCTGGGTCATGAGCAGCAAGCATGAAGAATACTAGATACTGGAGCGGCACAAGCTGATAGGATGCGTATTTTCCGAGCTTCTCGATGAAATTCTTGCGCACTTGATAGTAGGGATCCTGAACCACCGGGAAGAACAGCGTTGTCGAGATGTTTGCAACGGCCCGACGTGGAGCACCGACATCACCCACATGTCCCGCCACGGACAAGCAACGATGCCACGGGAGTAGAGCCTCGCACCTGAATGGTCATCCCAATAGACTCCTCATATTGGTACGACATCATCTTCAGATATCCGGAATGGCGAGAGAGCTTCAGAAGCGACTTGGCTGCCACAAGTCGAAGATGGCCCTGCACAATCAAGCTGTGTGCCGTTGCCAAGGCGGCTTTAGATCAAATCCAACGAACTGCTGGGTGTTCGCGGTTTGTATATGGTGCCCTGGGAGGCACGAAGGAGTATCGCCTACTATTTCCCACTACTGCCTGCTCCGATACTGGCTCCAATACTCACGCAGTGGGCTCGTTCGGATGCAGCTCCCCGTTGAGGTCGAGGATCTTCTTGAGCAGCTTCAAGACCTGAGGCGCCAGCTCGGTCTGAAACTTGGACTTTTGAGGGGACAGCAGCCGGTTTACCAAAAACTTGACCGATAGTACCTTCGGTAAGCGCCAGCCAATCAGTAAGCAAGTCAACAAGTGCGCGTTGGTCGCCGAGCGAGCCGTCGATTCGAATGAAGTGATACAGGTATTGCATGAGGCGCGTGCTTACCTTGGCTTGGCCCTCTTTGGAAATCTCGCTGAACTCGATCCAGTTGTCAGCATCGTCCGGAGACGTCTGCAATCCGCCAAACGTGGTTGTGGGATGAGATCATCGACGGTAAGTGTTCGGCAGCGGCCATCAACAAAGTGTCGGCCGACAGTCTCGCTCACGCTTCCCATAAGCCGTTTAATTTCAAGCTAGCTACCTTGATGTTGCTCTTCATGATTATGTCCTTGAACACAAAGTTTACCAAATTGACTTGGTAGGGTTCCAAAAGGTCCGAGGCATGGCGTGCGATCTTGGTCAGCACACCCAGATGCCCCACGAGATTTGGATTCTCAAACGAGAGCGAAGCCACGATCGTCTGGAGGCATGCTGTTCGTGTCAGTAACGGACATCCAACGATTGCTGCGGCTCCATGTATCCATTGGCAAAATCAACACTAAGCCGTACGCTGTCCGTCCACCCGGCGTTTGAGAGATATCCATGCAACCTTTACTGGCTGAATGCAGAGTCAAAACACTCTGCACATTGCTAAGCATCCCACCTCGAGAATCTCTGAAATATACTGCTTGCGTTGCTCGGTTTGAGCGAGCACCACGGTGGCATTTTTTGCCTGAAGGAGCGAGCCTTCAAGCGCGTATCGGATCATTTTCTTGATCGAATCGTTTTCCTGCGACGCTTCCTTTGGGAATGCTCTCACAAACTTGGCAAGGGCCACAACGGCATCGGACGCTGCGGTTTCATCGTGTCAACAAGGATGTAGATCGCCGCCAACACCGACAAGACAAGAAAAGCAAGCCAAGGACACCCAGCTTCCAACACGTGGATCATACCAAGATCTTCATTGTCGCTCTGCAGTAACTGAGTAACTTTGTCGATGTGGTTCTTGTACACCGCCGGGAAGATATCAACGATGGTCTGTGCCGATCATTTTAGGATGCCGGCGCATAGCGTTAGATACCATGGAGCCGAAAGTTGTGTTCGAACACCGGCAGCACAGAAGGCATTCGATCCAAAGAATCGAGCTGAGTGAGATCTTGGCTCCGTAAGAAATATCGGGGCAAGAACAGGATCATCCCATCGACGTGGAGTACAGCTACTACCGATTCTAGTGAATCGCCAAGGGAGCCTCCTTACCTTCAGCAGAGCTTCGGCCGCCTGGCCCATCTTGATATCGTCTTGGTCTTGGCTGAGCTTACCGGTGCTCGATCGCTCGATGAGTCGCGGAATGATGTTCTTCCCAATGAGCCACAGAGCAATGCGCCGCAATATGGGCGCAAACGTTTCAAGTGAGCCTGCGGGCAGACGCTTGGATATTTCCCTCTGTGTGCACATCGTTTGTTAGCCCAGATAGCTCCATTTGGACATCAGTTGACTGAATATCGTAACTAGAGCATACATCACATGAAATCCACTTACACAGTGCTTCATGACAGCCTTGTACTCGGTCTGCGGATCCATGACGGCCCGCATCCACCCATAGACTGTGCGATCGTTGGCATCGGCAAATGCCTGCAGATGCGCTGCATTTTTCTTTGGATCCATCATCTTCTCTGCGTGAGTGTCCAGCGAAATAGCCGATGGGTCAAATACACGAATTGCTGCTGCCAAGCACCAAATTCGCCGATCCAGGGCGGCTCTAATCAGGACCAGTCGCGCGCTTACGTGCGAGGAAATCCACGATTGCAAAGAGGGTTTTCTTGGTCCCGTCTTGGTCCGAGTCCATCACGCCGCCCTATTCAAGATCAATTGTGGGCGTTGTAGTAGTAGTAGTAGTGGCGGTGGTGGTGGGGATAAGCGGGGTAAATGTTCAGGCTCAAGATTATCAGTAAGCCGGGACTTTGCTCGATTGGGCAGATCGACGTACATTGTACTTGTCGCACTGATCCAGAAACAGACCCATGTTGATTGCCGATCTGCGGATACGGAATCAAAGGAAGTGAGGCTCAGTTATACGGAGCAGGATAGCAGGATAGCAGGATAGCAGGATAGCAGGATAGCAGGATAGCAGGATAGCAGGATAGCAGGATAGCAGGATAGCAGGATAGCAGGATAGCAGGATAGCAGGATAGCAGGATAGCAGGATAGCAGGATAGCAGGATAGCAGGATAGCAGGATAGCAGGGTGGCAGGATAGCAAGTCAGCGCCCCACTTACTGTGCCTGGCGGGACAGGATACTCAGAAATGCCTTGTTTTGTCGCTCGGTGAAGGACGAGATCACAAAGAGAAGCCGGTCCGTGCGCTCGTCGTCGTGAGGGTTGGGCTCGAGGATATCTTCGTGGAAAACCTTTTCAACAGCCCACCTTTGTGAATCCAGTAAGTAATCGCCGAGAGTCAGAAGTGTAATCGTGACGTCGTGGCGGGGCGGGATGAGACGGGGCTCAGGCTCGAACGTCGTATGTCTTACTTGATGTCCGGTTCGTCAAGATAGAGGATCTCCATCAGATGACCCGGAATCCAGCCGTACTTTTCACGGGCATCAGTCTCGTCCCCCTTAGACGCCCTGTTCAAAGAAACAAAGTATGAGACGTCACCCGCGCACATCTCGACAATCAAATCGGGTTCTGGCCAATCTTACATCTGCGGGTACATGAGCTTGTAGAGATGGCCCAGGGCTTTGATGGCTGCGGCACGAGTCGAGGGCTTTTTATCGAGACATCGGGATCCGGCCGATTTGATCAAGTCGATTGGGGCGTTTGTGGCACTTTCAGCATCCAACAGACCGACAACCCGGATCGCCGCCTGACGCACGCGTTCATCAGGATCGGCAAACTTGCTCATCAAGGATTCTGGATTTGTGACCGCGCCAGTTAGCGATTCGTCAGCAATAGTTGCGGTCCGGTGTTCAGCAAGTAGTTTCGGTCGTCAAATGTCCCAAACTTTGCTTCAGCCTAAATAGGTCGTTCAAATACTCCCACCCTGCAGAGCCGCACCAGATCAAGCGATAACTCACTGGACACAACCAACGACACTTCCTGGTGGCGGCGGAGGAGGGGCGCAAAATATTCAAGCACGGCTACTCGGATGCTGAAGATCTTGTCCTTTCGTCTGTCTAGCCACGACTTGAATACCTGGGGGTACTTTGCCGCTAGCTTCGAGGTTTCTTCCGAAAACATCTTTCCAAGCGTGTGGGTTGCCAGTGTCCGCGTTTCAATTGCCTCGACCTTGTTCATTGGTTTGCACGATGCCGCAGTGACATGAGCGTGGCAAATTGATTAGATGAGATCAAAAGGCACTCACGAACGATTCCGGGGGCTGTAGCCGGCAACTCACCCGAAGCTCTTCCTCGAGCTGCGGAATAACATTTAGCAGGATCGACGGTGCGATTCGATTGATCTCGATTATCATATTATGTGCTTCTTCGAGTGAGCGCTGCTCAGTATCTGCCTCTTCCTCAGACGAGCCGTTTCCAGCCAGGATAATCTCTCCGAAATACTGGAAGCGATAAAAGCAGGTTGAGCGATTGGATGGTCTGAAACGGCATATGGTAGTGCATGTAATACTGCATGTGGTAGTGCATGTGGTACTGCATGTGGTAGTGCATGTGGTACTGCAGATGGGACTGCAGATAGGACTGGTTTCGACTTTGGTCCTGGCGTTGCCCACTCAAAGCAAACTATCGAATCAAAGTCAAACCGGCTGGTTACCTGAGACACATATTTCTGGAGAAAGTCAGCGGTGCTGTTGCACAGGTCGATGGCAAGCTGACGGGATTCCTTGGGTGCCCCATGGCTATCAAGCTGAAATTGGTCCATGAGGATCTCGGTGCATTCGTTTGGAAGGGCTGCTGCCTCCTCGACAAGCGCCTGCAGAATCTCCAGCATCGAAGAATGGACATTCTTCTGGGTGTCGTTGCTGCGGGAGAAACAGCAGATCAGTAAGCACATGGCTGCGGCTGGGGAGTTCACGTCCATCGAGCTGAACGGGATCGCGGCAGCAGGATTTCCATTGTCCCTTGATTAAACTCTCGCACGATACCCAACCCTACCGAACAATATCGAAGCACAGCTTGAAGTACGAAGTCAGCAGCTCGTCGCCAAGATCAGCAGCCAAGATGATACTTCGCACCGTCGCCAAGCTCTCCAAGAGGAAGTAGTACGACGAAAAGTACGGGTCCTCTGGGTCTGACAGGTGGTAGAGCTGCTTCTCAAAAAATTCAAAGATTTCCTGCAGCGATCAGTCGATGTTTCGCCAAACCAAGAGCAAAGAAAAGAGAGAGGTATTATGAGCGAGCGTGAGGAGCACCGATTTTCGTTTCTGTCGCCCAGTGCGTGCCAGTTAATGGATTCTAGTGGCAGGACTGCATAGCGCACGAGACTCGCTGACACCGACACCGTACCCGCAGTTCGTTCTCGGTGTATGGTGCGTCCGGAGCAAACAGTCTCAGGATATCGGCGAGACAGCACGCTGTATAGATGCGAACGCCCTTATCCTTGTGGGCAAGCAGGGAATGAGACAGAAGATCTTTTCGCAAGACCGACAGCGATTGAGTATCGCATGTCTCCTGCTCCAGCTGGCTGAGTTCCAGGTGTGTTTTCTGTTTTGGGGTTGTGTGGGTTTGGGGGTTTGTGGTTGTGTTGGCCGACCGCGATGTGGACATTGAACGATGGTGGACGGCAAACGATATAGCGCAGCAGTGATGAGCACCAATGCATTTCAGAGCAGCATGCAAAGCACCGACTGTTGATCGTTCATCGGCATTGACCAAGATGCAGCATGCAGGCTTCGCCGCCGCCGGTGAACCATCGCCCAAGTCTTGGTCCGCTGGATGGGCGTCGCCACCAAGGAATACGTTCTACCTTGAGTCGCTTGTGCAGCTCGTTGGTCTGCAGAGGACGCCCGGGAGCAACCACCCGTTGGGTGTAGTTCAAGCGCACGGCCCTGCTCATGATTGCTGCAGATGGGGAGCCAAGGCGCACCGGCGACAGCGGTGTTCTGGGGCAACATCGACCTCGCCAGCGAAGCCAGGCGTGTGTGTGTGGCCAGGCTCTGCCCAAACATGGCAAATTGCCTGGCTGCGCACTGGAGCAGAGGCCACATTCCGCCGAATGCGCTCGGCAAGCAAACGCATCACCTTTCGAATGTGCGGCTGGAGCCAGAGGGAAGAAGTGCCAGAGGCTCAGGTCCCCGATATGCTGACAGCGCGAGCGAGAACCAGAGGCAGCTCGCGGGCCTCCAGCCATGCCCCTCCGTTTGTCTGCGAGGATGACTGGACAACCCACCCTCTGCAACCCCCTTGGCCTCACATTTCAATTGAATCGGAGATGATAATATTTTGGCTTGCCAAAAAAATTAAAGTAACTTCAGTGGTCGATTTACAAAGAAATGGGTCGCGAAAAAGGCGGAGCCGTCGTGTGCCGGAAGAGCACACAGCAGATGCAAGGAAAAGCACTGGAGGCCGACCCAGTCAGCCCTGGAAGCGCAAGGAAAAGGAAACGCAGAGTGCAACTAAGAGTTGAGGGCAGCCTGGATTCTGGCAGTCTTGTCGGCGTCGGTGGTGCACGCAACAGAGGTACCGGGCTTGTTGACCAGAGGAAGAACCTGACACTTGAGGCCGCTGGAGCACGAGGTCTTGAAGAGCTGAGTGCCAACACACTGGCCGAGCTGGTCACCGGCGCAGAAGACGGTGTCTCCAGCCTTGCACTGGGTGTTTTGGGCCTTGGCTGAGTCGAGTTGCTGGGCCAGGATTCCATTGTTGCGCCTGAAGTTACCATTGCTGTTGTTGTTGTTCTGGTTCTGGTTTTGGTTGTTGTTGTTCTGGTTCTGGTTGTTGTTGTTCTGGTTCTGGTTGTTGTTGTTCTGGTTCTGGTTGTTGTTGTTCTGGTTGTTGTTCTGGTTGTTGTTCTGGTTTTGGTTGTTGTGGTTGTTGTGGTTGTTGTTGTTATGCTTGTTGTTGTTGCGGTTGTTGTTCTGGTTCTGGTTGTTGTTGTTCTGGTTGTTGTTGTTCTGGTTGTTGTTGTTCTGGTTGTTGTTGTTCTGGTTGTTGTTGTTCTGGTTGTTGTTGTTCTGGCTCGATCCAACGCCGCTAGGGGGCAGGAAGAATTCGTTGCCGTTGTCGTTTCCAGTGATTGCTTGCTGGGCCGAGCCGACACAGTTGTTGAATCCCGTACCGCCGCCGCAGAATCCACCCACGCAGGCCTTGAGCAGCGAGTTAGCCGAGAAAGCGTTCACTTTGTTGTCGGCAACCAGGCCGTTGACGCAACGGACGTTGCGAGCCAGATCAACACAAATGAAGCCAGTTCCAACTTGAGCACAACCCTGCTCGGCGGTTCTGACGCGGTTGTTGGGAATGACCTCCGGGGCATTGAGAGGAACAACAGTGGCATCGTTGAGCTGGTTGGCATGAGCAGTCAAGAACGCCAGACGCTGCTGATCCGAGACACCGACATTGCCGGTACCGGAGTTCAGGTTGACATTGTTGAAGTCGATAAGGGTGCCATTGTTATCGTTGTTGTTGTTGTTGATATCATTGTTGTTGTTGTTGATATCATTGTTGTTGTTGTTGATATCATTGTTGTTGTTGTTGATATCATTGTTGTTGTTGTTGATATCATTGTTGTTGTTGTTGATATCATTGTTGTTGTTGTTGATATCATTGTTGTTGTTGTTGATATCATTGTTGTTGTTGTTGATATCGTTGTTGTTCAAGTCGATAAGGGTGGTGCTGTTGTTGATATCATTGTTGTTCTGGTTATTGTTATTGTTGATATCATTGTTGTTCTGGTTGTTGTTCTGGTTGTTGTTCTGGTTGTTGTTCTGGTTGTTGTTCTGGTTGTTGTTCTGGTTGTTGTTCTGGTTGTTGTTCTGGTTGTTGTTGTTATGCTTGTTGTTGTTCTGGTTGTTGTTGTTATGCTTGTTGTTGTTATGCTTGTTGTTGCGGTTGTTGTTGCGGTTGTTGTTGCGGTTGTTGTTCTGGTTGTTGTTCTGGTTGTTGTTGTTCTGGTTCTGGTTGTTGTTCTGGTTCTGGTTGTTGCCCTGTTTGTTCTTCTTCACAGCAATTCGAGCCGAGCCCGCAGCGGCAATGTTCTGGCTAGCCAGCCCCGAGTTGGCTTGAATGGCCGAGGCCTGGGCAGCAGGAACACCTGGAGGGTTCTGGCAGGTCTTGGACTGGGGAGGGAAAATACCCAGAAGCTCCTTGTTCTGAGGGGGGCGACTGCAGAGAGGGAAGCAGTTGCTGCTGCCAATGATGTTGCGCTCGCTGCCCAAGAAGCGCTGAGCAAGGTTGATCAGAAGATTTCCTTTGCCATTATCCAGACGCTTGGCAATGTTGACGAACTGGAAAAACACCGCCATGTCGGACAGGGGAGGTTAGTGTCAGGTTGACGAGAAGAGGGTCCGTCATCAACGCCGTAGAGTGCCGCCACCGAATCGAGCTCATCCTGGTACGACGAGAGGCGTGGAGCGGGTGTGGCAATGCATTACCTTGTCGGCCTGATCCTGCTGGTCACACGGGCCAGCAGCAGCCAGGATGGTGGAGATGGCGTTACCGGCCTCGGTGGGACACTCGCCGTTGACAAAGATCTTGGATCCAAGACAAGCCTGGCCAATTTGCTGCAGGATGCTCTTGAAAGTGGGGCTGGTGGACAGACTCGCCGTCAGCACATCGTTCGGAGGCAGCAAATGCAGCACATGTGCGGCAGCAAGTGCAAGAATGCTCTCGCTGCAGAGTGATGGGTACATACTTGTTCTCGTTGCCAAAGACATCGCGGCGCTGAAGAGGGCCGGCGAGCACGAGATTGGTGCTGAACAAGACAGCGAGGACGAGGGCCAGAAGATGGCGCATTTTGGAGAGCCTGCTCGGGAACGGTGGGTTGAAAGAGAGCGTCGCAGGCAACGGAAGCGCGGGAGACCGATGGGGAACCCAGGAGGAGGAGCAGACGGGCGAGGCTTAAGTATCTGGCGACGACGCTTGGGATGCGACGAGACCTTGTTTGCGGCAGGATGGACATGCCGCGCGACGGCACAGACGTGCATTGGCATAGTGGACCTGGGCTGGACCTTGGCTGGACCTGGGCTGGGCTGACCTGTCTCGACGGGGCTCGCCGCCGGGCGCCTGCAGCCGAGCCAACAAGCAGCCAGCCCTGGCGCTGCGGCTGCGAAGGCGCCAGGGCTTTGGGAAGGCGGCGGCACGACGCGGCGGCCGCGTTTGTTGCGCGACGGGGCCAGTGCCAGCGGTCCTGGGTGGTTGACGCTGCTGTTCATGATGCTGCTCGTTTGTTAATATTACTGCTAATGTTACTGCTAATATTACTGCTCATGCTACTGCTTATGCTAGTATCACCAGATTGTTAACGCTATCATCACCAGATTGTTAATCTTGCCGTTAATATGTTATTACCACCGTTGAGATCATTGAAATCGCAACGGCCGCCGCCAGTGCAGTTGCCATCGATGCTTGCCACCAGGATCATCCTCTCCCCCATCCAGGGTCCATCGGCACCAACTCGCAGCGTTCGCATGCCCCCACTGTCTCCATCCTTGGCCAGCCCATCTTGCCTGCCGCTTGCTCCTCTTGTCGATGGCGCTGGCTTGCCTGCCGATGGCGCTTGGCGATGCTGCCCAGCAAGCCTGCCGCTGCCTGCCATCCGGTTGTCCTCCTTTGCCCTTTCTTTGCAAGCCGCAGATATCGATCTGTACTGGTCATGCCGATGGCCCCGTTCGTGTCCTGGCCGTGACCGGTCTTTGCTCTGTCGACGGCCTTGTGGTGGTCCTCAGACCCTCTCGTGGTCTTCAGGTGGTCCTCCCACCACGATGGCGCTGCTCGCGCCGCTTTGCTGCTGCCTTCGTCGCCGCTGGGCGCATCCACCGAGTGAGGTCGGGTGGGGCGCTGTATGCGACAAGTCCAGCACGGCAGGGTTGCCTTCCAGGCCTCCCTGGCAGAGTAACTGGCTGGCCTGGCCGATGAGGGAGGGGCGTGCATGCGTCTTTCATGCATCAGCAGGACAGCGAGCGAGTTCGTGACCATGGCATGACATGCCGACTCATTCATGGTGCCAATCGCCGCCCGCTCCAAATCAATCGTCACCCTCTTCATCGAACACCCTCCCCGCTCCAGGTCCTCTGGCGGGACGATGAGCCCGGCCCGCTGCCTCGCTGGCTTTCGTTGGGCGCGAAAGGGGTCGATGGCAAGACCCAGGCGCCCGTCGCCAGCAGCATTTCTCATCTGAGCGGCCTCTTGCCCACCGATCTCACCGGTCGTCTGAATCGCCTCTGTCGACTGCCACCAGTCTAATTCGATCGCTATGGTGAGCATTGCCTCCAGGCCTCGCTGTGTGTCCACCTGGAAATACTCTCCCTAGCTTCACATCCTCCTCCTTCCAGACCGACTCGGTTTCCCTACTCTGATTGACTTGTTCCTGGCTCTGTTCCTGGCTCCGGTCTGGCCATCATACCTGGTCGGGGTATCAATCTCCAGTCCACTACATACCGCAAACCCGCTCAGGGCAACCCTTCAAATGCTGTCGGAAATGCTGCCCTCGGCAAGAAACCCAGCGCCGCCGCCTCTGGCAGCTCCCACCGCCCCCGATCCCAGGACCTCACCCACGAACAAAAGCAAGAGATCCGGGAGGCCTTTGACCTCTTCGATACCGATGGTAGCGGCACCATCGACACAAAAGAGCTCAAGGTTGCCATGCGTGCCCTTGGCTTCGAGCCCAAGAAGGAGGAGATCAAAAAAATGATCACCGACATTGACCGGAGCGGCAGCGGCACCATCGACTTTAACGAGTTTTTGGAGCTGATGTCGGCCAAGATGGTGAGTCTCTGTTCTGGCTGTATTCGTCGACAGACCCGAGCTCCTCATTCACATCTATCCCTCTCCCTCTCATTCAACTCCATCTCCTCCTCCCGCTGATTTCAGGCTGAGCGAGATTCGCGAGAGGAGATCCTCAAAGCCTTCCGCCTCTTTGACGACGACGAAACAGGCAAGATCACATTCAAAAACCTAAAGCGGGTTGCCAAGGAGCTGGGCGAAAATCTGACCGACGAAGAGCTGCAGGAGATGATCGACGAGGCCGATCGCGATGGCGACGGCGAGATCAACCAGGAAGAGTTTCTGAGGATCATGAAGAAGACGGTGAGCGTCTGGATATGTGCCGTGATGTGTGAGAGGGAGGGACGAATGAGCGACAGCGAGACGGTCGGAGCAGCATGACAGCCGGCTATGAGATGGTGTCGGTGTCCGTCCGATGGTGTCGATGTCCGTCCGATGGAAATATCCCGGCAGCATCACAAGAGATGCCCCAAATGCTCCGTCCTGCACGACAAGACCTGTATTGTTTGCCGTTGGCGTAATCTCATCCATATCCACGAAACTGTTGTTCGGCCATGATCACAATCACCCATTCGCCCTGGTCTCTGGGCACACATCGACCCGATCGACCTGGTCGCCCCTTGCCTTGCCTCGTGTCCCGCCCCGCCCTCAACTCCTTCCACGATCAAACCTACAATATCACTTCATCAGAACCTGTATTGATGGATGGATGGATGGATGGCATTGAGCCCGGTCTTTCTCCCGAGATTGAAAATATATGGGCTGCGCCCGACGCAAAGGTATCCAGCAATACAAGCAGTTGGTCAACAGAAGGCAGTGATTGTAGTCAAGCAAAAGTCTATCGGCAGCCCTATCGATACATTTCATGGCGCCGATTTGCGGGCCCATGCCACAAACTGATCAAACAACGTTGGCCCTGGTTGCGACAATAAGAACGCACTGTTAGTAACCTGGCCCCACGCGGCCGTCTTTGAGCCTGCCCAGATCCCTGTGCAAGCGACCATGTCCTCGCTCGGGCACCGATCGGGCACCTACATGCGTTCGAATCGTCATAGTTGCTAAAGTCTCCCGGCACCATCACCAAAAAGTCGAGTAGACTGCGCCACTGGTCTTTGTTGATGACCTTGAGCGGACGGGCTTCGTCCAGAAATGCAAGGAATTTGCTGACGGTAGGATACCGGCTGGACGGAAGAGCCAGCAGCCAGAGTGCTTTGGCTGCAAGGCATGATCGTCGAGTTATTCACTCGGCTTCAATCAAGAAGAGTGTGGTGCCCAGCCGATCGAGCGATCTGTCATCGCGCAACAGTAGCTTACCGGCCTGGATTGCCGGCCGAGATTGAGAGGGTGGCAAGCCCGGCGGGCATATACAAGGAGGAGGGTTGCTGATGAGATTGGTGTCGCAGAAATGTGTGTCCTGCGTCCCTCTGCTCGCCGTTGCTCAAACCAAAGCCCCGATATCGATGCCGGGGAGCGTTTCCGTTCCAACCTTGCCCAGAGCATACCGGACACCTGGGTGTTCGAATCTGCTTCCTCGCAGAATAATTCCACAGATGAAACCCGCCCCTCGTTCTCTCCCTTCCTACCACCACTTGCGATTCGGCCTCCGCTTACATCAATCTCGAGGTTGCGCTGCTCAGAATCCTTGGCAAAGGTGAACAGCCAAATGTAAAAGTCGCGGAAGACGGCCATGTCTTTCATATCGTCTTCCAGTCGAGCCACGGCCTTGACGAGCTTCTCGGCTGAATCAACGCTGCCGGACACAGGTTCGCCGGCAGCCAAGCCATGTCCGATTCACGTCGTCGGGGGTGACGGAAAAGAAAGAAATGCCAATTCTGTGGTCAGCTCTGGCGAGCCGAAGCCGCAAGTCTGACGGTTGGGAGCGATATTTGCCGGTAACCAATGCCGGCCTAGGACGATATCATATTCGAGAGCAAAGATCAAAGCAGGCGATTACAGCCAAAGCAGAGTAGATGTCCAACAGATACGGATGTGCACACAAGACTGTTCCAGATCCAAATAGGACCCAGGTATACTTACTTTAGTGCCTTCATTCCCGCCTGCCATTCAGCTTTGGTCACATAGCCCATCGTTTTTGCTTGCAGCTTGTAGAACAACAGAAGGATTCCCAGCTGAAGGGGAAGCGATCATCCACGAAACATGTCAGCGGTGACGTGGTCGGCAATGGACGAGATCGATACCAGGGATGGGCAGCCGATTCGAAGGGCACGGCGAAGCAGACCAAGCTGCCGGCCGGGACCACTCGCCAGCCTTGATGGATGGTGAGAAGTTGCATGCAAGAACCGATCGGTATCGATAGACCGTCGCAGTGCTGACTGGTACTCAATCGCTCGCCACATACATTGTCGGAGCTGATACCAATGTCGCCACAGAGCTTGTCGATACCCTCGGGTCCGATCGCATCCGAATCGCTCTCTGTGCGGATAAGATATACATGAGTTGCTGGTTACAGCGCTGCATCGGTCGACAAGCGCTTCAAGTGCTCGACTTGGACTTCTCAACTGTTAGCAGGGATGGCAGGAGCCGTGGATGTGCTCGAAGCGCAGACGACGATGAGCCATGGGACTCCACCAATTTACCTTGGTATCTTTCGAACCAAGCTTGGCATTGTGTCGGGCAATATGTTGATGAAACCTGGAGACCAGCCATGTTGCAGGGATGATCGGCCCGCGGCCAGAATCAGATCGTGGCCAAGAGAGGATGCGAATGAAAATGAGGATGAACATGATCATGAGTACGGAGATGGAGGTGAAGGAGCCGACCCTTCGCGGGGCCAAGATTTGTCTCATAAACAGCGATCGGCATGAAAAATGCGATACGGGATGCTGTCTCTCGATTCTTTGGACGAAATGCGACCGGGGTGCTGCCGATGGCCCTGACAAACTCACATCCTTGGCTCGCGATGTGCCATTGCTGTTCAACCAGAATGAACACTCAAATTAACACAGGCCCGAATCGTGCGAGCGATAGCGAGAGACCGCAAGGCAATTTCGGATGTGCCCCAGAGCTGCTGATTTCCGATCGCAGATCAACAGGCTGACCGACTGATCGATCGATAGATCAGTCCGCTGATCGATTTGCTCACCTATTGTGTGCCGACGTCGATCGCTGCTTTGACCGCTTGGAGGCCTTGCTGGCTATACTTTGGGTTGGCTCTGGCGCCAGGGTCGTGGCGGGAGCTCTCTTTCGTTTTGACGACATAGCGAGGATCGGTTGTGGAGGAGGTGGTGGTGGTGGTGATGGCGAGGAGGAGAATGTGGATGGCGCCTGCAGGATTTGCAATGGTGGATATGCTCAGCGGCGTTTGCGTGTGCTGACGGTCAGCTATGGTGGCAGGTTCGCTCAGCAGCCGCTGGTCGATTTGATCTGCGGTGGCGAGAGGGAAATGCGCTGCGATGAGCCCAGCAGCGGCAGTGGATGCAACAAACAAGTCGGCGGTTGCCAATCTCGGGCTTGCCCACGCATCTGCTGTCCGACAACTGACTGGACCTCGCAGGCAGCCGGACGATGTCAACAAACGGCGTGGGTGTCGTTACGAGTGGCGGAACGAGGTGGCAGGGGAGAAGACAGCGGGAATTGCTGGCCTGGAGTGGCCAGGCGACGACATCGCCGACGACATGGTATTGGGCACTGTTCTCCAGCCGGACAAGACCGAGACATGGCTTCCCCATGAGCGGATCGCTTCCACAATCCAAGCGTTGTCGTCAATCAATGTGTCCGGCGCTGGATAGCCGCTATGCCTGCCTGCCTCCCCCCCCATCGCAGCTTCCAATGAGACTTCATCCTTGAGCGCCGCTCCACGGGATCATGAGGATGCCGCCAACAAGAATGCCGCCGCCCGAGAACGCAAAGGACGCAAAGTGTCTCCAGAAGGCCATACACGGTGGTGAGTAGATGTACAGGTATCCCGGGGATCCGCCCAGTTGCTTGCCGATCATGTCGGTGAGAATCGTGGCAACGATGTTCATCAGAGCCAAGCCAACCCATTGCCAGAGCTGAGGCTTGAAATAGCCGCAGAGGTTATATCCAGCGCCGCAATCGAACACCTGCCAGCGACAGGGGAGCGAGCGGTGAGTCGAAGCTCGGGAACCAGCACAATATCAGGCGACTCTCACCGTATAGTATAGCGAGTAGTTTGCGGCATTCATCAGAGCGAGTTGAGCAAGGCAGTAGTAGTCCGAAACAATCTTGGTCCCCTGTGATGCAACACGTAAATGTCGTCGGCAAGCGGCTCAGCAGCCAAAACATTGGAGCCTGTATTCGAGGTGTATGGAAAATGTGCATGCTCACAAGCAATGCCCTGCAACAACGGTCTGCAAGCCATGGTCTGCAAACGATGGTCTGCGAGCGATCGATCTACAGCTCACCATATACATTGCGCGCATGACCGACTCTTCGCATATGGAGCGAGGAAGGAATCGTTTGAACGGGCGCATGAGAACCAAGGTTGCATTTGTTCTTGCTAACACTGGCGAGGGGGGGGGAAGGATGGCGTGATATTAATTTCAGCAGGGTTGCGATGAGAAGCAATGCTTCCGAGGTCATGGGGCTATCTGCTTCAGCAGCTCCATCGACATCGTCAACGGCTCGATCGACATCAGCACCAGCCAGGCTCCGCAGCATCGCCGGTTCTCACCGTCGAGAATGACTGTCAAAGCCATGTTCATGATGAATGCGAACGGCGAGTTGTCCATGGAGGCAATCAACAACACAAAGGCCACTCCCTGTGAGGTTGGTCGCATTGGCGGGTGTTGGTCAGAAAGTGGTTGTAGCGGGTTTTGTGCAATCGCGCATGGAGCAGTGTCGTTCTTTCAGGTGCACATGCTCGCACCTGTATCCCGGCCGCAACAAAGGCATAAAGCGAAACGATGTTGGATGTCTTCCAAAAGAACCGGTGGTCGAGGGCGACGACCTTGTAGTCGCCCAGCTCCTCCTTCGATGGATCGCGGCCATGCCGCAGCCGGAACTGTTGGCAGGGGTCTGTGACCTTGCTCAGATGGGTATCCAGCATACTCCAGGACTTCTCGTAGATGACAAAGATGATGATCTCGCAAAAGTTGACAATGAGGGGTGCCCCAACGAGAGCGACAGAATCCAGGAGAATCGAGTTGGAGCTGTGGGCATAGGCCAAGAAATTGCCATAGCCCAGTCCATAGATGAGCACGATGATGATGAAGCAGACAATATACGCAGCAAAGAGTGGCTGGAGAATCATGAAAGCGGAGAAGAATGGCACCGGGCGCAAACATAGCTTCAGGACAAAGAGAATTTGTATCAGGATCGAAAACAGGAACAAGACAAAGAAACACTGGAGTAGCGAGCTTCTGAACGGGAGCCAGAGTGTGACGACGACGAGTACGACCATGTAGGCCACAGTGAACATCATTGGGGTGACAATCCGGTGAAAGATGGCCTTGAAGGAGCCCAGCGTGAAGGCGTTACTGCACAAGAAACGAGAGGGCATTTCCAGGTTATCAGAGGGATTGATGCATCGCAGCGCCAAGGTGGGTATGAGGGAGCCATGGCGTCATGGTGGCATTTGCAGCAGCATCTCGAGCAGGGTACTTCATGTTAGTATTGGGCGATGCTTTACCCCGTTAGCCCAAAGAATATCGGCAGAATTGTAAAGCTGAAGATAATTCCCTCGCTGACTGTGCACACTCGATCAAGGGTGCATTTGACAATCGAGTTGCGGAAGATGCTTGGCACGATCGTGAAGGAGGCAAAGAACAACATGGCAGCGAAGAACGGGCCGAGGCATCTGCATATCTGCCAGAGGTGCGAGGGGTGCAGGCGAATATCCATCAAGAACTTCCAGCGCGGCCATGGAGCTTCCTGGTCGGCATTGCTGCCGCTGTGATATGGCCTTTGTTGCAAGTTGGCGGCCTCGAGATCGCTCAGTTGGCGGAGCAACTCAAGGGGTCGCATGGCCTCCACTGGCGATAGCTTTGGATTAGACATCGAGTCGCGGCCAACGGAAGGGACTGGCTTGGCAACACTCGCCACTGGATAGCTCTGCGAGGAGGATGGGCGATATCGACAGAGCTTGCAGTCAAGCAAGCGGATTTCTGGCATCGAGCCAGAGCACGGGGTTTGGATCGCTCGCTGGTGAAGGACATGCCGCCTGGAACGGCAAGAAGTTGGCTCTGTCCATCCGGCGGAATAGTGGCTGTCCTCAGGCTACGTCAGCCCCGACCAGCGGGTCTTTTGCCGGGGGCAGTATTGCCCGGATCACCGACATATTGCTGCTGCACCAACGACGACGTCGCCAGCACCCCGGCACGCGCGTCAAGGAGGCCCCCTGACACAAACAGGGGGCGACGCGCCAGGATGCCCGGGCTGCGCACCACGCTCAATATGCCCGGTTTGGGAAAAATGGATTTCATTGCGGCCACGGCTGGTGGTGCTCGTCTTGGGTGGCCCGGCTCGCTGGAACCTGCACACCGAGCGATCTATCCAGAACCGACCAGGACCGATCCATCTCCAGCAGGAGCGCCCGGCATCCGATCTCGACGGCGCACGTCCCGCAGCAGTCGCATTCTATCCAGCCACTGCCTCACTGACCCACCCCCAGTCCTGGGCACCTACTCTGTTCAGCGCCCTGCCATGCCCTGGATCCGAGAAACCCCGGTGCCCATCCACGAGGTCTACGAGCGACCCGGCCACGGAGACGGCCACCCAGCGCCGGCCGTCGGCCCGGTCTCCCATCTGACCATCGAAGCCGACGGCGTCGACCCCACGTACTACCCCACCTTCGATCTGATGCGCTATGATCAATTGGCATCATATTCTCCCCTGGGCTCGACATTCCACCTCTACGATCGAGCCAGCTCGGCTCGGGAGTACGCACGCGCGGATGGCTCAGACTCGAATCATGATGCAGAGACGGAGGGCTCTGAGCAAACAACAATATGTGTCATGTCGGGCTATTGGCATATTCTGGGAAACCGCCGGACCTGTCTGGAAATCAAGACCTTTCCTCCCCCCATCGTCGGCGACCCTGACGACCAGAGCATCTTTTTGAGTAAGCAAGTGCACTCGGCCCTGCTCTGGAACGGCACGGCGCCTATCTTTCTACCTTGCTCGCTGGCCGCAGCAACAGAAAGTATCTCCACCGCTACTGGACCGACGCTGGTCGCCCCCCAAGTGGCATCATAGTAAATCTACTAGTTTCTGACTCTCTCTCTCTCTCTCTTCCTCTCTCTGCCGCTCAATCCAGGCTCCCTGTCGAACCAGTCGATCCAGATTCACCTTCCCGAGCCGGCCCTGCCAGATCCTGCTCTATTTTACTGCAAAGAAACCCAGTCGATCCTGGTCCACGTAGTGCTCGCATCTGGCGAGCTGCGGCGCTTCCAGATCTCCGTCGTCGAGGCGCAGGACGTGGTGCTCAGCGAGCTCACTCCCGTGGTCTTTGACCCTGCACTCTCGGATCCTGGGACCAAGCCCAGGCTGCCGGTGCTGGTCTCCATGCCGGATGTCAACCAAGCCTGGGTCTCGTTCTCGGACGGAGCGCTTCTCTATCTCGATATTCGCAATGGATTAGAAGGTATGTTGGTGTTGTATGGATCGATGCCGGGACCCACAGCCGCAGAGCGAGACCTGGATCAGGGACTGACCGGCCAATCCCGCAATTCGCGATGGGATGGTTCACGCTTTGGACCGCAGCCCAGGTCATCCTACAAGACAGCCCGAACTTGATGGGCAAGCTGACCTCGCTGGTCCCCAAGCTACTCCAGAGCAAGCTCTATCGCCAATCCTCAATCCAGGCTGCCGAAATCGAGGAGCCGGACTGGCCCGTCTCGCTTGTGACCGAGGAGAATCTTCCGGTGGCCGTGGTGCTGACGCGCGAGGGCCGCATTCGAGTCTGGGATGCTGTCCAAAAACGATGCTTGAAGAGCATCCAGTTGGAACAGGAGCTGCTGACAACGGTGGACGAGAGCATGCAGAGAATCTGCTCGTTTTCCAAGGTCTCGCAAGAAGCTCGGTACCACATGAAAGCCTTTGACTGGATCGTCGACGACAACACCGGCGACCAGAGCTTCAAGCTAGCTCTGCTGATTCCGACCGCGCACTCGGCAGCGCCCATCCTGCTCGTGAGCCAAGTTCAGTATACTCGTGGAACTGCCGACATCAGCCCTATTCACAAATCGATATGCCACTGGGATGACGATGCCGGAACCACCATCGCCGATCATCTGGTCGACTTTTTCGTTGTGCCGTCCTCGTGTCTGGGCGGCAACGTTCTGTCGGCTCAGCCCGGCGATCCGACTGTTGTCGACAGGTCCTGGGCCATCTGTGGCGCCTGGGAGCGCCAGTGCCAGAGCTATGCGCGCTACACACACATTATTTTAACCACCGCCGGTCCCGAGGTGCCTTCCAAGCATATAACCCCGCAGCGGTGGATCTCGATCTGGACTCGGCCGCGACAATTGCTGGACGTTCCAGAATCGGAGCAGCGCATTCAAGCCAACGATATTGACGAGCTCTTCCTGAAGCACCTGGTCGCCAGCGAACGATTCAGTACAACCGTTCTGCACAACGTCCTGGAGCAGTACGTCGAGTTCTATAGCGTGCCTCTGCCTGACCTGATCAAGATTCCTCTGGGCCGGTGTATCACGATGGCAGTGCACGAAGCCGTAAAGCAAGCCACGGACCTGTCGCCTATAGACGATCAAGTCCTTCTTGAGGCCGCCCAGATCCACCACGAAGAGCTCCGAGAGAAATGGGGACGGTTCCTGGCCATGTGCATCGAGCTCGACATTGTCGAAAACACGCCGCTCGGTCTGGGCATCAACCCGATCACAGGGCTTGTCACCATGGTCAAGCGTGGCGGCTTCAGTATTCTCCGTATGTGCGATGCTTCCGAGGTCTTGTGCCTGCAGCAGAACGCTGTCTCTGGAGGATTCGACTCGTCGGCCTTTGCCATGCTGGCACCCTCGTGGCTGAAGCGATACCCGGGCCTCTGCTCAAGTCAGTTCCGACACAATGCCACCGTCTTCTTTGACGTTGTTGACCACGTCAACCAAGTGGTCCACCCATGCGACATCAAGGCCTTTGAAGAGGATGTCGCGTATAGCCTCTCAAGCCACGACAGCGTCGGCATGACGATATCATACGTGGCCTCGCTCTACAGCAAACACTTCCATGAACTCGCGCGAAGCCCCGAGGACGTCAATGCGCTTCTGCGTGAGCTCAGCGGAATCGAAGAGTTTCCTGTGTGGTACACCGAGATGATTGATCTTCTCGGCGGCAAGGATGCGCTTTCGACTACAAGCACCCCCTGGCAGTGGCCGTCTTTCTCGGACGGGCAGCGCTCCGACATGATGCAGTTGATCTTTGTCGCCAGTCAGAAGCAGATCATCGAGTCCAGATACGAGCTCTGCCGCAACTTTTTGGTGTTCCTGACGGTCCTGAAGAGCCAAGGCCATCGCTTGGGTCTGCGGTTCGAGGTGCCCAAGGTCACTTTTTTGAGCACGTGTGTGCTGTTCCAGTCGCTTTACTTTTTGAAGTGGAGCGGCGAGCGACGCACGCGCCGGTCTCTCCCGCGGCGGGACGAGATTGGCGTCGAAGGCCGTCTGCAAACGCTCAGTCTCGCTGGCAGCCATCCCGAGTACCAAAGTGACCTCGTCCTGGCCAAGATCATCAACTATCGGCTCTGTCATCGCGACCAACCATCGGCCAGCTTCGAAGAGGGCCTGTTTAGCGAAATTACGGCTGTTGTCAGCGCACGCATGGCCAAGCTCGAAATTCTGGCGCCGGTGTCGCTGCGAACCAGCAACGTATTCAAGAACACACAGGAAGACCAGGTCCGACGGGGTTACTTTGAACTATTGCTCCCGATCTGGCGACTGGGCGAGTATGAGCTCCTGTCCGAGGGCCTGAAGATGGTGCCCTTCTGCGGATGCACCGGCGTGAGCGCCAAGGGGCCGGGTAGCGGGATCATGTATCTCGCTGGTATCACGAAGCTCGAACTCGGCGAGATCGAGAGATCCAAGACATATCTTGAACGGGCAGTGCTATCGTTTGGTAAGCGCACGGTCTTGACATGACTCTCTGCCTCGAAGCCAGATGAATTGCTTGGGAGCACAGGCATGCATATGGTGGCTCAGTGCCTGCCACACGGCGCCCGCTATATGCCACGCGTTGCTGATCTTCGATCGTTGCTTTGGCCCGCAGACGAGGCCAGTCGCAAGGACCTGGACATGCTCCACCCAGGTTTTGCACAGTCTCTGAACCTTGAGGCGTACTATGAGCACATCATTCGAATCTACGAACAGAAGAAGATATCCGACGGCGTTGTGCACTTTGTGTTGCTTGCAATGTCGATTGCTGTCCCGGAGAAGGTATTTACTTGCATAACAGCAGGAGTTGCGAAAGGCTGGTGCATGCTCTTGAAACGTCTGGGCTGCATGCCAGAGAGACTCTCTGTCGTAACCAAGCACAAGCAGCTGATTGAAATTGGATTGCCGATACTGGTCGGCTAATTATACGATACCGATGTTGGTGACAGATGAACCGCTATCGCATGCGGCTGTTCCATGAATATTTGGAGCTGCTGGACTTTGATGCAGCCTACACGGCCCTCATGTCCAATACAGAGCCGACCAGGTAAGGGCTCAAGCAGCGATGGAAACGATACCAAGCAAGCTGTGCCAGTGTCCGGATGAACAGACGCGGACTTGATCCTCCTGTCGATGGTGCTGACCCTTGCCTACGGTCCCTGTTGCTGGGACGCACAGCCAAAAGAACTGCCTCGAGCGATTTGTGACTAAGCTCTGTGAGCACGGCGAGATCGAGGCGCTCTGCACAAAGTACTCGTTCTCCGGGCTCGGAACCGATGTCGAGAGATTCCTCAAGTTCAAGGCCAGCACGCAGGTGCTCGGGCCAGACCGACGCAGCGATGCAGTGAACTCGGGCGAAGTGCCCAACTACTATCGCATCCTGTACAGCTACTATGTATTCCGGGGCGACTTTCGCAGCGGTAAGTGGCGGCGTCTCGGATGAGGGGCAAGAGCGGGCGGTGGCGAGGCTCGGATGGCGGTCTCAGTCGATTGATCGACAGACGCTCATAGATCGACCCGCACTGCCTCACGTTGTCTGATGATTGCTGACTGGTGGCTATTCTTGATTCCCGACTGCTTGCAGCCGGGCTGGCGATGTATGAGAATGCCTGTGCCCTCGCTTCGATCAAGCTCTTCCAAGGATCCCGCCTCCATGAGGGACCTGGTGCTGGCGACCTGTCCGTTCGCCACCGCCAAAGCATCCAGCCGTCGTCGGTGGTTACAGAGAAGGAAATCACCACTCTTACCCGGCAGCAGGCCGAGTGCTACCTCGTGGCTATCAACATTCTATCGCTCCTCGAGCCATCAGAGGCCTTCTTGTTGGTGGAGACAAAGTCATCCTCGCTGGAGGACCCATGCGAATGGAAGGTCGGAGCAAACCGCAAGCGTCAGAAGATCCTGGAAACGGATGTGAATGGCCAGGGTAGGTTTGAGGCGACGAAGAACTTGCTCCATCTACGATGCCAGTCGGTGGCCCTGTGCTGACATTTTTGGCCGATGCTCTCCCGTTGCAACTCCCAGGCTCTGCTCTGGATGGCAAGACCACCAGGATGGTGACTCTCCAGGACCTGCGCCAAGGGTATATCCTCACGCTGGCCAAGCTTGAGCTGTCAGCCCTTCCGATGACATCGTACCTGGCGAGCTCGACTCTGCCACTCCGGCCACAGTCAGCTGTAGATCTCTATATCCATGCAAGCCAGTTCGATCAGGCCTTCAGTATCGCAAAGCTATTCGATCTTGACATGAAGTCCATTTTTGAGAACTGTGCCCGCAAGTGCATCAAGATGGCTTGGGCGGAACGGAACCAAACGTGAGTATCCTCACACAAGCAAGCGATTCGGATGGCCGCATTCAGAGCGCTGCTGTGCTAGAATGACTACTGGCGAGAGGCCCTTGTACTGCCGACACTGACCCGACGATGGATCTGCAGCGAAATCGCCGACGAAGACTATGAGATTCTCAAGGAGCGGCCGGCATCGTGGGAGGGCACGGCGTCGCGCTCGGCCTGGCGGCTGCTCGAGAACTATCTTCGCCTGCACGACCGGGCTGAAGATGGGCTCGTGCACCGCCGAGCAGTTGTGGAGGTGGTCCTGCGAGAAGACCCCTCAAGCATGCCTGTGTGGCTCCGCGACTCGTTTATGGTATGTAACATGGAGCGCTACTGTGATTGCTGGGCATGACGTATGGTGCTGGGGATGCAATGAGGCAGCGGTCCTAGCAGTGTCAGATGAACCCAGGGACGTGTACATCCAGCTAACTCATCCCCGGCGGCGGCCACTCTCGACTGGCCTCATCGAATTCCAAGACCAACCGCCCTGAGGAGCTGCTCAACGCCTATCTCCGGAACAACCTCGTCGAGGACGCCGTCCGGTTTGCCACGCGATATATCGCCGAGGTAAGTTTCAGCCCCGCAGAAGCAACTTCGTGAGCACTGTACAGCCGTCAGAATGCAGCATGAATACGCGGCTGGCTAATGCGATATCTACCCTCGACACGCCAGTATCTCCGGTCCGCCGAACTCCGAGCTGGCCAGACGCAACAGGCCGAGCTGTGGCTCCCATACACCACGATCGATCGGGTGGCCGCCAGCGCCAGCGTCATCCTCCAGAGCCATGGCGGAGATTCCCTCGACAGCCTCAAGGCGCTCACGGAGCGATTGACGCAGGCGCTTGATGGGTACCTGAGCTTTGTCGGGCGCGAGAGCCGGGCATGAGCAACATGCGAGCGCCGGGCATGAGCAACATGCGAGCGCCGTGCGGGCATCGTGAGAACGTCGCGAGCACCAGACGCAGAATAGAGTGCGCCCCAAATGAAACGGACCACCCTGTTTTTGCAATTTGTCGCACCCACTCCATTCGGTTCAGGAGGTGGCTCGGCAGCAGCAACCACGGGGCCTGCTGAGCGACGCGAGTTGCACTCGGTCCGCGCCGGCATGTCGCACAAGTCTGCCTCGCAGCCAATCCGGTGTCTCCGAGGGGAATGCTGCGATTGGCTGGCGCAGAGACGCAAACACAGCGGAACTCTCTGGAGCACGTCGCATCACGTGGCGACAAGGATGCGCAGCCGAGACAAGGGATCCGGGTCGAACCAGGAAACAAACCGCCGACTGCGCCACATCTCGCGTCGCACCGGAGACGGATTCGGAAGGCGGTTGGTCGCACAGTGCAGCATGCTGCGCACGCAACGCGGCACGAGAAAAAAAAGCACGCGGCCGCCACCGCGGGCAGGGCGCGTCGCGGTTTCTCCTGGTGCGGTCGAACGGGGCTATAAATGCGGGCTGCTGTCTGCTCCTCCTCCACCAGCATCGAGCGAGCCAGCATCGAGCGAGCGAGCCAGCAAGCAGTCGTCGGTCCATCCGGGGCGACCGTCTGCTTGCCGGTGCCACTCAGCACTGACTGATGCCGCAGAATGCCTCCTCGAATGACTCTCGTAACTTCTCAATCTCTCCAATCTCTATGAACAGTGTCTGCTCTCTCTCCCATTCCTCGACCGCCTCTGGCCCCACGACCGCCTTGGTATGAGGTCAATTCAAACTTTATACTTTGATGTGCAGCATGGACGAGCCCTCCGCGGGCTCTGTGCCCTCGAACTATAAAGCTTTGGATTGGCGCTCTTTCCAACCCGACCGGCCGGGAGCAGCCGTGGAATATGGGAGAAGATGTTGCTGCTGCTGGTCCCTGCGATATGAGGTCAAAATTACCACTATTCTTCGCCTGCCCCCTGAGCGCGGCGAACAATCGTGGGAGTTGTGGCTCTCATTTCGATGAAACCAGTGCTTGTGAGCCGCGGTGTCGTGCAGTGCTTCTGCTATCGAAAAATGGCGCTTGAGCAAGTACATATGGCCCCATATCAGAGCTGCCCGGCGTTGTTCCGTCCCCGACTGCTCCGATTCGTGTCTTGCTGCTCCGATCCCCTAGCATGGACGCTGTCGGCGCGAGATCCCTGCGTAGGCTGCTGAGAGATGCCCACGGTCTTGTCACCGCCTTCCGGTCCAGGGACCGATTCCCCTGCTGCCCGCCGCGTTCACTGTTGTCGTCGAGAGCGGAGCAAGCCGAGCCACGACATGCTGCGCGTCCGTTTGGGTTAGACTCGGATCCCATGGTGCTGAGCAATGATAAATAGATGGATGATACATGGATGATTGTATTGAGAAGTGCGTGCTGCAGTGCCAGAGGAGACAGGACTGCCCCTCGTCTGCGCTTGGACACTCGCTGTCCGCTGCGGCATCAGTTCTGCTTCTTCTTCTTGCCGCCCTTCAACAGGACATACGAGATGAATCCTCCGATCGCAGACACGCCGACCACCAGGAGAATGACCGGTCCGCGGATGGCCCACTCGGCAGGGGGGAAGTATGCCTGAACGAGATGGTTGTCTGGCACAAAGGGCTGGGTTGGCAAGAGCGGAGCGTCAGAGCAAGCCAAGTGAGGATCAGGGTTACAGGCAGCGGCTGGTGCGGCGAGCGCTCGGAATGGCCCTAGAATCAGCACACATGCCTGCATGCGATACTATGCAGCGGCTGGGCCTCAGAAAGCCGCGATCCACAGCCCAATTGTTTGCCTACCAGGATGAGGGCCCAGACGGTGTAGTAGGAAAAGACAAAGGTGGCGATCAGCAGGAGCAGGCCGCCGAAGAGTTGGTCGGAGAAAGTGGCCTTGGTGTGTTGAAATACGGCGCCGCAAGGGAGAGCCGGCGAGATTCCGTTCGTTTGCAGCCAGATCGGTTCGGCGGGAGAGACCGTTCAAACATCCAATCATCCCAGCCATGGCGGAGGGCAGATGACATTCGATTCGATGAAACGATTTGCAATTCACGGTCCAGGGTCGAAGCGAGTCCGTTGGGTATCGATGCAGCACAGAAACAAGCGTACAGACGATATTAGGCTCGTGCGCACTTTTGACCGCCGTTGGATCCGTTGTGCTGGTGACGAGGACGCCCATCCTCAGAGCACCTCGGTCCAGCATCCGTCCGCTCGAGCCCGGGCAGCCGTTGGGCAATACGGTACCATGTTGGTTTGCTGTTGCTGGCTATGCGGGCGGGTTCGGGGCTTGCGGCTGGAACAGCAGCGATTGAGATCGATCCAGGAGATGCGAGTAGGGCGCCGCTGGAAGGCCAGGGATCGAAAAAGCCAAAGCCAAATCGCGCTCGCCCTCGCTGTGTTCTCGGCGTGTTCTCGGCGTGCTCTCGGCGCGGATGCCGTTCTCTGCGTTGGCTCGGTGTTCCCACACCCGCATCCCGCACTCCCGTCCGATACTCTGCATCCACTCTCCGTTCTCCGCAGTCTCATATCAAAATCTCTACCAGCCAGCCGCCAAGGGACTCCTCGGAATGTCTGAGACCGTGGCAGCAACCAAGGACGATGTCGCCCATCTCCAGCAGCTCATCCGCGAGTTGGTCGCTGAGGGCTCGACACAATCATCCTTCAGCTCCCGCAAGTCCTCGTCCGTAAAGGAGGCCGATGGGGCAGACGGGGTCGACAACTTTGACCAGATATCGTACTCCATCACGCAAATCTTCCAGTCTGGAAAGGAGATCCCCTTCACCGAACAGCTCAACTTCTTCATCAATCGCAAAGAGGCCGAGATTGAAAAGATGTGCAACTTCCACTACCAGGTCGGTGGTATGGCGACTGTCCTTTACCACTGTCGCAGAGCGATATTGAGACGCGTCAGTGCCAGGGTGATCGATCGTATGCCTCGATATCTCTCTGGTAATATTGACTCTCCGGCGGCTGAATGGTGACCCCGCCACTCCCGCGAGCAGGAGTTTGTTCAGTCGGTCGACCAGCTGCTCAAAGTGCGCGTGGGCACAGCCTCCATCCGGACCAAACTCAACAACCTCAACAAGGAGATCCAGCAATCCGGCAGCAAGATCCTTGATAAGGTACTGCCGTGGTTTACCGCGAGCTGTAGCAGCATCCCGCTGCTTTGGGGTGTCGCTGCCTCGGACCCGAACGTGCATGCCACTTCGTTTGTGAGGGTGCACAGATGGATGTGGCCGATACAGGGCTATTCCGCGTGCAAACGATACGACGATCGTGCATCGCTTCATTGAGCTTCCTCCTGCTCCATCCATCGTCTCGACAACTCGCTGCGGGACTTGCACCACTCCTGAGTAGCGACGAGAGATTGTCGAGTTCCGCCGGACCCAGGTCAACATCGAGTCTACCATCGAAAGCCTGCAGTCGTGCCTGTTCATCCTCAACATCATGGGGAAGATCCAGACACAAATCAACTCGAAGAAGTACTATTCGGCCTTGCGCGTGAGTCCCAGGTCGCCGCACATCTCTCCGCGATGTCACTTTGTTGCGCTGTGCACCCGTATGATCGATGTGTCTGTGCGCGAGCAGCACCGAATTCCTCCTCACGCCCTCTAGCCGGCATAGATGCTCGAGGATCTCCAGAGCAACAAAATCAAACTCATCAAGGATTTCAAGTTCATGGAGCACATATGTGAGTTCCCTCATGTGCCGCATACACGGGCAGCAGCAATCGACGACGTCCGTTGGCCGGGATTCTGGGCCGATGGTCTTGATACATTCGCAAGCAGGCTCACTTTAGACTGCCCTTTATTGAGGGCTGGTTCTGTTTCCGTATTTTTGCTCATGCCAGCCGGATGCATTCCAAAGATGAAGCAGAGCATCATCGACGCTGTTGTAAAAGAAATGAACGAGTGGTTTGTCAAGTGAGTATGCTTGAATATGTGATGACCAGCATCACAACGGACCAATGAGATTGTCCCGCATGCTCTCGCCCTCCGCACCAATCATGAGTCCCCACGTGTTTGTTTGCCCCCATGCATGAGCACGCGCCGTTGCCACCCGCGTCTACTGGTTTCCTGCCTCCCCCACCGCTCGGCACATGTCCCCGGGCTGTGCCAAGCCTCTCTCGCTTGCACACCAGCCACTCTCGCACCCCCTTCTCGCTTCTCTGTGATGCTCCACCCTTCTCGCCCACTTTTGCCCCTCGACCTTCTCCCGGTCTATAAATAGCCCTGCATGTCTGAGCCTATGTTGAACACCAGTTCGAACAAAACTTGTTCTTTGGTGTTCGGGGCTAAAAGCTAATAAAGCTCATACCAAGCACTTGGTCTTCGTCCTTGCGCTTGTTCACTCCTTACACTTTGTTCGAACTCTCTTCTACTGATACCACCTGCTTGGTATCTTCCGCTCCTAGCCCCGCCCCTTTCCTAGTCCTGTCCGAACCTCAAGCACACTTGTGTCTGAGCCCTCTTCGCTCTCCTGTTCTTGAACCTCCTCGCTTTTTTTTTTTTTCCCAGTCCCAGTCCCAGTCCCGCCATGGATCCTGCCCTCGTGGACCGCCTCCGTGCCTTGGAGGCCGAGCTCGCCGAGCTCCGGACAGCTCGCGATGCTCCTGCCGCTGGGTACAGCGTGCAGATGCCGGACCGTTACGACGGTAACCGGCAAGGGTTCCGGGCATTCGTAAATCAGTGCAAACTGTATATACGAATGCAGCCCCACCGGTTCCCTGCTGACCCGATTAAGGTCGGATTCGTCATTAGTCTGCTCACTGGACCGGCTCTCCAGTGGGCGACTCCGATGCTTGAGATGGGTGATCCCCGACTCAACTCTTTTGGCGATTTCCTAGAACGCTTTTCCAAAGTGTTTGACGACCCTGATCGGGCCAGGACTGCCGAGTCAGTGATCACCACACTGTCTCAGGGCAACCGCCCGTGCGCAGTCTATGCATCCGAGTTCCTTCGTATTGCCGCCGATACGACTTGGAACGACGGTGCAAAGATCTCGTTCTTCCGACTTGGCTTGTCGGATGATGTCAGAGACGAACTTTCGCGAGTTCGCCCTCTGCCACGAGATCTGGAGGAGTACATCGAGCTTTGTAACGAGCTCGATGCACGAATCCGCGAGCGCCGTCAAGAGCGCCGAAGCACGCCTGCCCGCTACCGGTCTTCCCAGTTCGCCTTTGGTTCCGCCTCCGCTGCCGTTCCCGCCATCGCTCCCGCGCCCGTCCTCGCTCCGCCGCACCCCTCCTACATTGTTTCCGAGCCCATGCAAGTGGACTCTGCCGTCTCTGGACCCCTGACCGCCGAGGAGAAACAACGCCGCCGCCGCTTTGGACTCTGCCTGTACTGTGGCAAGAAGGGCCACTTGGTACGAAACTGCCCCGTCAAGTTTGGATCTACCAGAGCTACCGGACCGCCCCCTGGACCTCCCGGCCCGAGGATCATCCGCACCATCGTTTACGAAGATGGAGAAGTGCAAGACTTCAGTTCGGGAAACGACCAGGCCCGGTTCTAAGTGAAGGCCTTGAACCGGAGCCGTGCCCACCGCCTTCCGAAAGTGAAGACATTGGTAAGGTGCCTTTGGTAAGTACTGGGGAAGCAGTGATGTGCGGACAGCTTCGCCTTGCCTCTGGACCGGCGGACACTCTCAGCTCTGGCATAGTACCCGTGGCACCTCTGGTGTCACTGGGAACTGCACCTCATCCACAGGTGCAAATACCTGAGCTGTCCTGCCAACCCTCGGCAAAGTTAACTGTCTGTGCTAGCCGCAACCCTGGTGCCGAAGCTGGTACCGAACCAAAGTCTTGTGTTTCGTCTGTTCGTCGTTGCTCGTTGGTTGTTCCCGTCGCTGTTCGTCTTCCTTCTGGTGATTCTCTGTCGTGCGAAGGACTTGTCGATTCTGGTGCCTCTGGCAACTTTATCGACGAGGACTTTGTTGCTCGACACTCTGTCCCCACCTGCTCCAAGGCTTCGCCCTTGGCAGTGGAAGGCGTGGATGGTAAGCCGCTGTCGTCTGGCCCCATCCTCCGCGAGACTGCTCCACTCGAGGTGATTCTCGGGGACGTCTCGCAACGCCTTCGGTTCGATGTGATCAGGTCTCCACATCAACCACTTATCCTTGGCTTTCCTTGGTTGCGCACCGCCGAGCCCAAGATTGTCTGGTCTCGCGGTCTTCTTTGTCTCCCTCCTTCTGTTGATTCCGACCCCTCTCCATGCACTACTTCTCTTTCGTCTTGCTCCACTTCCTCCAATGTCACTCCCCTTCTTGATGATTCCACTCCTTTGATTGATCTAAGCTCCTCTCCTACGCTCCCACCTTCGTCTTCCCCTTCTTGTCTTGTTCCTCCCGAACCCCTTCGCTCTTCCCAAACCCCTTCTTCTGTTGTCAGTTCTCTTTCCCTCCTTGATGTACCTCCTCCTGTTGTTTGTTCTTCGGACATTGTTCAGAATAAAGTAACCGTCGAACATTATTCTGACCTTGTCCACGCCCCTCCTCTCAGCTCGGACGCTCCTCTCCGCGTCTGCAGCATTGATTACCGCTCGATGCGCGAGTCTTTGGATGCATGCAGGCATGGAACGCAACCCCTGACCATCTTTCAGGTCCATGTCCTGCCCACTGACGAGCCGAGCACTGCGACTGTCGAAGTGCCTGCGGAGTACAAGGACTTCCTGTCTGTTTTCTCTAAACAGGAAGCTGACTCCTTGCCTCCGCATCGCCCTTATGACTGCCCCATTGACTTGGAGCCGGGCAAGTCGCCAAAGTTCGGGCCTCTGTACTCACTGTCCGAGCCCGAACTTCACGCTCTGCGTGACTATCTCGACGAGAATCTTGCCAAGGGATTCGTTCGTCCTTCGTCGTCCCCAGCAGGCTCACCAATCCTCTTCGTCAAGAAGAAGGACGGCTCACTTCGTCTTTGCGTTGACTACCGCGCACTGAACGGTATCACGGTAAAGAACCGTTACCCTTTACCGCTGATCGGCGAGCTGCTGGACCGACTTCGAGGCGCGAAGGTGTTCACTAAGCTGGACCTTCGTGGAGCCTACAATCTGCTGCGCATCCGCTCCGGGGACGAGTGGAAGACAGCTTTCCGTACTCGATATGGGCACTTCGAGTACTTGGTGATGCCCTTTGGGCTCACCAACGCGCCAGCGACGTTCCAGCACTTCATCAACGACGTCCTGCGCACCGAGTTGGACCAGTTCGCAATTGCGTATCTTGACGATATCTTGATCTACAGTGCTGATCCGTCGCAGCATGTAGAGCACGTCAAGCAGGTCCTCTCGAAGCTCCGAGCTGCAAAGCTGTATTGCAAGCTGGAGAAGTGCGAGTTCTCCAAAACCTCGGTCTCGTTCCTTGGTTTCATGGTCTCGCCCGAGGGCATCGGTATGGAGCGATCCAAGCTCTCTGCGATCTTGGATTGGCCCATACCGCGCAACATCTCGGATCTTCGATCCTTTGTCGGGTTTGCGAACTTCTATCGACGCTTCATCGATGGATACGCAAAGATCGCGGGGCCCATGACTCGGCTCTTCCGGAAGACGCATGGCTTCCAGTGGTCCCGCGAAGCCGATAAAGCATTCAGATCCTTGAAGGATGCCTTCGTTTCGGAGCCCGTTCTGGTGCATCCGGACCCATCCAAGCCGTTCGTCGTAGAGTCAGATGCGTCGGACTTTGCGCTTGGATGCGTGCTCTCCCAGCGGGGTGCTGATGATCGCCTTCATCCTTGCTCGTTCCATTCGCGGACACTCTCGAATGCTGAACGTAACTACAGCATATACGAGAAAGAGCTGTTGGCGATCAAGGAGGCTTTCGAGGCGTGGCGACACTACCTCGAAGGCGCCCAGCATCCCGTTGCCGTTCTGACCGATCACAAGAACTTGGAGTACCTGGCAACGGCTCGCATCCTAAACCAGCGTCATGCACGGTGGTCCCAGTTCTTGTCTCGGTTCGACATCCGCATCCAGTACCGTCCTGGTGCGAGGAACGGCAAGGCCGATTGTGAGGACCACGACAAGCAACGACACTGGACGACCAGGTGCTTGGCGAACAACGATAAGCTATATTACGACTTATCAGATAACAACAAGTGTTGTTCGAACTGAAGATACAAAATGGGTGCAAGAAAGGAGGGGCTTTATAGCCAAGAGGGAAACCGAAGGGCGAAAGTGGGCGAGAAGGGTGGAGCGACAAACGAGGGACGAGAAGGGGGTGCGAGGGAGGCGGAGCATCCAGCGAGAGGGGCGAAGCACAGCGCAGTCGGAGGCGAAGTAAGAGTCATCGGCGCCAGCCAATCAGGGAATACACGCCAAGACAAACAAACATGACTCACGGTGCATCACGCGCAGCAGTCCACACGTGTTCCCAACGTGCATGATCATCACATCATCCCCTCCCCAAACTACGGCCACTCCTACGAACAATAAGTCCAGGCTTGTCGGGGTACCGGCGGTGGAAGTCGGCTATCTTGTCGGGAGCGTTAACGTAGTTGGCGGGCTCCCAGCTGCGATGATCAGTCGAGTAGCCCTTCCAATCAACGAAATAGCTCAACTTACCGCGGACCAGCTTGGAGTCGAGGATCTCCTGAACTTCATACTCCAAGTGGTCGTCGACGCGGACTGGCGGAGGAGGGTCTTGGATGCGGCCGGGGAGGGTGTTCGACTTGTGGGGCTCGAGGAGGGAGACATGGAACACCGGATGGATCTTGAGATCCTTGGGAAGGTCGAGGCGGAAGGCGAGGGAACCGATGGCTTCGACGATCTTGTAGGGTCCGATGCGCTGGTAGTCCAACTTCTTGCTTGGACGGGTGGTCTTGATGTTGCGTGTTAGGACCCAGACTTGATCGCCAGGAGCGAACTTGGGAGCGTCGGACTTGTGGGCATCCGCAAAGCGCTTGTAGTCCGCCTTGGCCTTCTCGAGGTTCTCCTTCA